GTGACTTATAATACGGAGTAAAAACACAGTTATTCGTAACAAAGGCGATCAGTGATTCTAGAAGGATCAGTTGTAAGCCGGTGAATTATCTATTTACTATTTTGTTATACCCGGCTTCGCCAGGATTTATAAATTACCCGTAGCAGTAATTGTTACACCCAGCGTTTTTAATGGCAAGATTCACAAACGTCTGTGGCAAAATCCTTTTACCCCGAAATACTAAGCACGAGTAAAATTGACTAACTTTATCCGATTTTTTATTTAGTACTTACTGTGCATGTACCACGCTTTACAGAAAACCCTGGCTGCCGACAGTGCGCCCTTCGCAGAATCTGCAATATACCTTTATGAAACAAACACACCTGTCAGCAATTTCCTGTGTTTTATTGGCAATCCAATATAAACTGGCGAGTACAGAGTTTCTAGCCGTTTGACCTCAGTTACCAGTTAGTTTTATATATAACAATTCCTACGCTCAAAACAAAGACGTAATACGTGATGATGAACGACTTTATGAAATCGGTCAGAAAGCGGAAGATAATAAAGACGAAGATAATCTATTAAAAGATTTTCTGGAGATCTCAGTGATTTAGATCACCATTATTGTACAAGTGATGAAGAACCCGAAGAGATTTAGAGAATTGAGAGAGAAAGAATCCGCAAAGTCAGTAAATAAGAGAATGAAATCCAGCAATGAGTTGCTGCAATAATATTTAAAACCGCGTTTTTGGTGTCGATAGCGCATCCGAAAGTGTCCTCGAGGCGGTTTGTTGACCTACTGTCACAGTTCTTAGCAGCGGAGGTGTCGTACGTTGGTTAAAGGTTGCTATGCCAACCATAGTTGCCATTTCATAGAATGAGGTAACTTCGAATTTTCTGATTGGGTAAAAATATTAAACTTTTATATACGGTGGTTTACGACATTAAGTCGGTAGACAGAGTATAAGTAACGAACATAATCGATATTTATACAAGACGAAAGATTAATAAATCACTACAGAAGGACGATAAATTATTTATTCAATTATTTAAATGCCAACGACAGACGATAGAAATGAAAGTAATGTTTATTCGTTCGGATTTCCCTTTATTCCAGTTCGTTACACTTCCTTTATTATTTAGTACTTAAACACAATTATTTTCGTACGCAAACTGCTCGGATCGATGTATAGAAAAAAACGACCGATTAATATCTCGAAGACAAAGGAATTAAAACAATTTAATCTATCTTTAAAAACTTCCTACATAATACAGTTTCTTCTATCTTAGCCCGTTGACGAAAATGTGGCAAAAAAGTCGTAGACGTCTTCATTTACGATAACAATTATTTTAAACGAGGAAAACTAACAAACTCGCGGCCACTCTTACGAAATATCCAGCCAGAATACTCGTTTAACGTTGTAACTTGTTTTTGCGAGAACTGCGCGAGGAAAAAACGAGAAAATTACAAATGATTGCGTAATATTTCTGTACAAATCGACATCGCCGAGGTCAGTTTTTATCGTGTCGTCCACCACTGGCGACGAAGTATCTATAATAGCCGCTTCGTAAATTACGATTCCAGAGTTCTGTACTTTCGTTGATTATTTTTCGACATATTTGCCACAGATTCCTGTGTCGAATGGATTAGAACCGTCCTTAGACGAAATGAGGTGGGTGTTCTTTTTTCAATCCCTATTTCTAGCGGTTAATTCTTGTCGAGAGTTTTGGCAACATTGGGGAAATGTCTCTTGTACGTCCTCGGCAGACCTCTGCTATGAATCAAAAAACTTTTCCTCCGTTAAAATATTAGATCAATCCTTATCTATCGAGTGCGGCGAGGAAAGGATCGACTCTCGTTTGATGCGATGTTTGGACGTTAGAAATATACAAGAGATAGAATTTAGAGATTGTTATGTGTCGGGGATTGACTTTGGAATATTCACGTTTGGGTATGGAATCGAACACGTCAAAATATTTTACTCGTCGGATAAAAGAAACTTCGAGAGCGCCTCGTTTATTAACATGTCCTCTTTGCGATCTGTCGAAATACAACGAGTAAGGACGTCGGAACTTCTAAATTTAACCAGAGCCGTAACTAGGCAGGTGCAACAGGTGCACCCGCACAGGGCCCACTTGGAAGGAGGGCCCAAACTGCTGTTCACAAGAAATTATATTTTTAAATTTTAAATTTTTCCGCTTTTCTACAGCGCGGTTTGGCAATTACATTTCGCGCCTTACTTAGACCCTAGATGTCTGCTCATCAGTGTTCCCAACCATGGCAACTTTTAGAGGGACGTAGTGAGGTAGCGGAGACCTCAGACAAATCAGCCAAAAGTAGCAACTTTTGATATTTTTTAATTTATTTTTTGAGAAATTTAAATTTATATTTATAGTTTTCAAATTTACAGGTTTTTCTCTACTTTATAGAGCTTTCTGGCAACTACTATTATTATTACGATATACGAACTGTATTTCTAGATTTTTCTACAGTGTGCAGAGCTAGAAATCTGTAAAGGTAACATTTTGTAACGAAAATAAATCTGCCCGAGGATTTTTTTAAAATTACTAAATTGAAAATGGTAACTCCCGAATAAAATCTTAGTCTCGAAGTTGTAAAAGGCATGCAGAAATTCTGACATCAATTTTTGCTTTATAGTGGTACGCATATGTGGTGTATACCTGAACGGCTGATTAAGTGGTAAGCGAACTATGCGGGCACATAGGACCCGAAGGAGTTCCTGCAGTCTTTAAAATGCTACCAAAAAAAGGATTGCGAAAACTCAGAAGATAGAAATAGTCCAGAAAAACGCTTCGATATATATAGGAATAATATCATGGAATTCTGATACATGGAAGTAATAAATGATATAGCTTTATGGCCAACAATATTAACAGATGCTATTATTGATCATATTCTTAAAACAAACCAAAAAGTATAGAAAAGGGATTTCTTAATAAGCGAAAAAAAGAGTTGATAATGGAAATAGATAAAACACCAGATGAAGGAAGTTACTTGACACTCAAAAAATTATTTAAAATATAAATTTACAGTGTTCTTGACACTCTATTATGTTAAATAGATTGGCGTTATGAAAATATGAAAACTATCTGTTATGAATGGCTTGTGAGCACTAAAATTGGCTTTATTTTACCGCTAGACTTATTACACCACCACGCGTGCTTAGTCTTCTAATTAATGTTCAACGTATCGAATCCACATGTCAAATGTAAGTCCACATTCTTTGTTCATTTCTGTCAATCACCGTCTTTTTATAAAAATTGTTAACTTCCTAATATTTTTTGTAGAAAAAAGCTGATGAGGGACTCCATATCTGAAATGCATTCTAAAAATAAAATAGTGTTTTTCTAAGTCTAATTTGATGTCCTGTGCTGGTGTAATAAGTCTAGCAGTAAAGTAAAGCCAATTTTAGTGCTCACAAGCCATTCAGAAGACTAGACAAGAGGCGTATCATAGTATCTATGACAATTTTTGCTTTCGCTGTGGCTGGTCTTTACAAAGCATGAGTTTGCTGATTTAAAAAATTCGAATGCAGATCTCGCTATTAAATATAGCAAAGATTTAAAAAAGTACAAATTCACAAGTGAAATTGAAAGTTTTAATTTTGAAGTAACGACTCTTATACAAAATATAGAAACTGCATCTCCGCTTAATATTCTACAGGCTCTTCATGATTTTGGTTTAATTGAATCTGATACAATATCAATGTCGCTCTTTGAATATTTCTAACTCTTCCTGTTTCTATTGCTTCATGCGGGAGAAGTTTTAGCAAGTTAAAATTAATAAAAAATTATTTATGGTCAACTATTGCACAAGAACGATTATCCAATATTTCTATTATTTCAATAGAATACAATATCGTTAAAAATATTAATTATGATGGTGTAATTAATGAATTTGCTGAAATGAAAGCCAGAAAAATTCAATTAAAAAATGTATTTGTTTTATTATTTTCCCAAAACCAAATAAATTAAGGGGCTTAAATGCAAATTCTTGCACAGGGCACAGGAATGGTTAGTTACGGCTCTGAATTTAACATTTCGCAATGTTCCGTCGCTGACTTCATTGAAAATTGCATGGTTTAACTTCACTTTATTTCCTTACAAACCTTTCCGAGAGTTAATTAATCTTTACGAATTATACATCACGGTTGGTGACTTAAGAGTTTTACGCAAAGATCTATTTTATAATCTTCACAATTTGACAAAACTTGATTTAAATGACAATGAAATCGAATCGATTCATCCACTCGTCTTTAAAAATCTCGCCAAACTGGAATATTTGTATTTAGGATTTAATAAAATAAAGGATTTACCAAGTGACATGTTGAAAGGTCTTTTTAACTTAAAGACATTTTATATTTCTGGAAATCCTAGATTATCAGAAATTCCGTCCGGATTCTTTAAAAAACTGCACAACTTGACTGAAATTAGTGTAGCTTCTTGTTCTATTTCTTCACTCGAAGAAGATATATTTTCTGACTTAATTAATTTAAAAGACGTCGAATTAGTTTTCAACCGGATTGAACATCTCCCGCCAAATCTTCTGAGAAATAATAAACGACTGACACGATTTTCCTGTCAGTTTAATAAATTATCGAAACTTCCAACAAGAATTTTTGATAGACTTTCTGATCTGCGAGAGTTAACGTTGCGGGGAAATCGCTTTGAAAATCTCCCCGAAGATGTTTTTCAGAATTTGTCGTCATTGCAAAGACTCGTCTTATCGAGAAATCGCCTGACATTTTTACACGAAAACATCTTCCTCCCATTGACTAATTTAACGTATCTCGATCTAGCTGACAACAGTTTAAGTAAAATTATTGGTAAGAGTCCTTTTGGCAGCAGCAAACATCTGAGTACTCTCGATTTAAACAATGCCGGTTTGACTCAATGGCCGGTGTTAGATTGGACAGAATACGACTTGACTAAAGTCGATTTCTCAAATAATCAATTTGAAACAGTCAAATTTCCGATTTACACTCCAAATCGCGTGAAAATTAAACTGTCTAACTGTAAAATCAGAACAATGTACATCCATGACAGGCAATATTGATTTGAAATGCCGACTTATAATTTAAGTAATAACGAAATTACTTGCGATCACAAACTTCAACAATTCGTTTTTGCCCTTAAGTCAAATATAGAAGTGGCAAAGGAAATGTTTCCAAATATAGAGAAGATGAAATGTTACGGAGAAGAAAGAAATTTGCTGGATAATACATCTTTCGTAGTCATAGGAAATTATTGTCCGATGTATTGCGACTGTTTTATCCAACAAAATCACGTGATGGTCAATTGTTCCGGAAAGGGAATCGACAGAGTACCCGAAGTGGTCCTCCCAAATACGACGATTGTCGATTTGAGTAATAATTATATAAAGGATTTGTCAGATATCGATTCTGTGACGTGGAAAAACGTCACCCGTCTACGTCTAAGTAATAATTCTTTAAGTGATATTTCGGATTATGTTCTTTTGCCAAACCTCAAATACCTGACGTTAGACGGAATCCGGTTAACCGAATTACCTTCAGGACTAATGAACCTGATCGACGTTTCTTCGGAATTTAAGCTTTACTTATCGAGAAACAATTGGACTTGCGATTGTCATTCACAATTTACTAAGGACTGGTTACTTAGAAACAGACAGAAGATTGCAGATTTCTCCGATGTTTACTGCACGAGAAATTCGTCTTCTCTGCCTTTCACCGAAATTGTTTCTATTGATCGATGCACACAAATTTTAGAAGATAATTTGGCTTCATCAGTAAATGTTTCGTGTACAAAATGCGTGTTTTCCGACGAAGTTAATTCTGTTTTAGGATGGAAAATAGCAGTGGCTATTCTTACTTCGCTAATGTTATTAGGTGTGTTTATTGTTGTTTCTATTGTTTATTGCAGCAGAAAAGGAAATGTCGAGAAAGTGCCAGACACTAAAGAAGAAGTGATTCATTACAATGTTTACACTTGTCGAATTGTGTAATTACCACAGTTCAAATATATCTTTTATTAATTTAATTACTACTTGCCAGTAATTGTTTCTATGGAAATAAATTTTGTTTATTTCAAATATGCTGTAACAAATGTTAATTTTATATGCTTTTGTGATGAATTTGTTTAAGAATTATATTATGAAATGTGTAATAATTAGATAATAAAGCTGTAATTCAATCGCAAAGTCGATACCGAAATTCGACAATAGAGCAATACTTTATATACAGAAAGTAGACAAATGAAAGTAACAATTTATAATTCAGAAAAATTTTTATTAATAAAAATTTTTACTTTACTTTATCCTCACAGAAAGGCATAATGCCTCACAGAAAAGCAAACTTAGGTATTCGTACTCGCGGAGTTAGCGCCATCTGTTGGACATAAAAGCCTTAATCCTAGATGATATATTTTAATTTATACGAATGTTTAACGGAATAATATACAGCCTATGTCCACCCCGAAGTTCTATTATAAATATTGGTGAAAGAATTTTTGAAATCGGATGAGCAGTTAGGATTACCTCCTACATCCAAACTTATAAACATTACCTCTTTTTAATATTAGTATAGATAAGGATATAAATCATTGTGTCAGATCTTATTATGCTATTGATACTTGACACACCGACAAGTTTGACAGAATGCGTGTGACTATGTGTCTTTCGAGTTTTCAATGCACATAGTTTGTACTAGATTATCTATATTTAATAAAATAGTTATTTCTTTTACATTGTCTGTACTTTTATGGATTAAAGTAAACAAAAGTCTTATTAGGTCAGATATGTCTCCACTCTTCTATTTTATCTTCACTACGATTTCTTTCATTTTAATATATCTGTATATATTGCAAACACTATCTCTGCTTTGAAGAAGTACTTTAGAATGGGACAGTGATGGTGAACCTTTTTGAGTCTGCATGCCATATAGTAAGCATACTTATTGTTTGAGCATTGAAGTTTTAGACTTTGAATAATGATACTCAAAGAAATGAAATGAATATGCTATAATTAGAAAAACTGTAAAGAAGCTGATAGAAAAAGGACGATCGGGTGATAAACCAAAAGGATCATTAAAAAAGACAGGTGTTAAACTGAAACCTTATACATTTTTTGCCAGATGATTTCTCTGATGGGCCACTTTGGGCACACAAATCGTAGGTTCGCCACCCCTGGACTAGGATCTAACTTTGACTTTCCTACTGCTTTTAAAAAATGTGTCCGCTAACTAAAGATATTTAAGTTTCATTGAAATTTCAGAAAATATTAGTGAAATAGATAAACTAAAAGTATTGACTAACATTTTGTTACATAGTGTTAAATACATGTTAGAATGCTCTACATTTATTGATGCCATAGGCACTCAATCAGAACCGAAATGAAGTCTTTGCTTGGCATTAACTAGCCACTAGGAAATAAAAGGTGGGTGAGTTTATCTCTTAATATTTGAACTGTCTTAAGATATAGAGTAAAGAATGTAATTTTTAAACTAATTGCTGTCCCGCACAGAGTTGAGTATATACATGATTCTTTTATCAATGGTCTCCAGTCTGTTAATATCAGATAGCATTTATTGGAAGATTCTTCACGAGCCCTTGATGAGGCCTGTAAGCAGGACTGCTGCTGGACCAGCTCTAAGGACTGGCCTTAGAGATGGTCCAGCAGCTGGCTGAATAATACTTGCAACTTATAGGTACAGTACAATTATGCTATAGCCAGCACCATTATAACAAATCAGAAAGTTGTGAGGTAGTAGAAATTTCTATATTAGAACTAGTCTTTAATATTAACATCGTTCGAGAGACGTAACGATTGTTGTTCGTAGCTGTCTCCGGTTCGACACGACCCTTCTCGGGATATCTATTACCAAAGGTATTTATCACCACGCGATCCTTATGTGAACTCTTTCTCTCCGCGACAAAACTTTAGAACCTCTGTATCTTATCCAATTTATTTTTAATTAAATCCTTGTTAATTGTTAAGTGTAGTTCGAGTCTCCTCCACATGCTGTCTCTCTATCGGCTGACATTACGAATCCGTCTGTTCACTTACGGGACCGTTCGCGGGACGGTGTGACGTAATAATTGCCGTCTCGGCTTTATTACGTCACAGCCTGTCAATCCTGACAGGGCACTAAAGAAGTGCCGACCCGAAAGGTCACAAAGTTACTTGAGACAAAATGAATATTTCTCCACTTCGTCCCATGTGCACCAGTTGAATTTTCTAGAACAGGCAAATCTAGACAGGCTTAAACCATTATTAGATTTACTTGTTCCAGAGAATGCAACTGCCTTAAATTAAAACAAGCTTTCGGTTCTTTTCTCATTATATAAAAAGGATACTTTATTTTTCAGACTAAATTCAAACTACAGTGGGCTGTAACTTATTTCTGTTGAGCTTGGGCTAGACAAAGTTTTGATACATAATTAGACATTCTCAGATGTGGTTTTTAGCAGGCTCTGAGTCAAACTGGTTGGTCTGTGGCATTGTATTTACTGTCGTTCAAAAGATGAAAAAAGCACACACTGCAATAGAGAAGGAAACAGCTGCAATTCTAGAATCATTGAAGAAATGAAAAATTTACCTATTCTGATGACCCTTTAAACTAATTATTGACCAGGAGCTTTCCTTTATTATTAACAAATGGCTCTCTAGCAAAGTCTAGAATGATAAAATAATGAGATGATTCCTTGAGCTGATATTTTACAGTTCTGATATCTATCACCATTAGTAAGAAAACACAATGGCTGACACCCTCTCAAGAATTTGTAAGACTAAATGTGACAACAGATAATATGAATTCACCAATTAATCCGCCACCCTGAAGTTATTGTTACCGCCAAGAATATACTCTTTCTTTGGATGAGGTACAATACATTACCATGTCCCATTTATGCAGAAGATGCTTTTTCAAGTCAAGGAAACCTCAAAGGCTGCAACCTCTTTGAATGTCTTAACATAGATTTTAAAGGGCCACTACTGTCTGCCTCTCAAATTGCTACATTTTCATAATTGTTGACTAATTAGTACTCTTGCTTTTAGTTTGCTTACTCATGTTCAGACACAAGCTTAGCCACAGTTGTTTGATGTTTAACGTCATTATTTTCAGTATTTGGTGAACCAGACTTTGTGCATTTTGATTATGACTTCTCATTTCTCAACTAAAGACAGGGGAATGTTTTTCTCATCTTCCTTCTCCTCTTTTGGTATGGCAACTACTTTATCATCTCCATCTCCATACAGTTTTAAAAGAAAGCTAGTGGAGCAGAATAATGGTATAATTTGGAAGACTGCTAATCTAGCGTCGAAGGATAAAGGAATCCCAGTAACTTATGGGGAGCCAGTGATCATATAGGCTTTGTGTTATTAGATCCTTGTTTTGTACTGTTACTTACTAATGTCTATTCGGTCACCATCACATAGTCACTGAAATTACATGCCTGACTTGACTAACAATTTGATTTATTTCATGATCAGCAATGATTTGGGACAAATCGCCTGTCTTTATGCCATGATGCACGGATTGACCAGAGTATATTTTGGCGGTTATTTCTTGAGGGGTCATCCCATGAGCATGCATGCCATATCGTATGCCATCAACTATTGGAGCAAGGTGATGTGGAAAAGTTTTGAATTTTTTTCTTAGGTTAGTAGATGCATAAATTTTATTTTTATATAATGTCTGTAAATTAAAAAAGTTCACATTACTAAATCAGTAAGCACCTAATGGTAAATATTATTGACTGAATTTTATATATAGTTTTAGAATTTGATATTTTATTCCTTATTAACAGGATGATTATTACTTTCCATCTTACANAATTTTTTTCTTATGTTAGTAGATGCATAAATTTTATTTTTATATAATGTCTGTAAATTAAAAAAGTTCACATTACTAAATCAGTAAGCACCTAATGGTAAATATTATTGACTGAATTTTATATATAGTTTTAGAATTTGATATTTTATTCCTTATTAACCCACGGTTACGCGCGGCAGGTTACTCTCGCGAAGTCCAGCGCGGTGGGTACTATAGAACCCTTGCGTTCAAAATTCAATTTTTCAAAATTCATAGTTTTTTCGCGATTTTTTCATTTTGGGTGTTTGTGGGCATGTGTTTTTGATGTATTAGTGAAGAAAACTACTTCAAATATATCGTTTTTATTTATTCGTAACGAAAAACAGAAAGTCTCCCGTTTTTAGAAATTTTTCAAAAAAAATTGGTCAACTTCAAGAGTGTATTTTACAAACTGTAAACAAGTCTGATGCTATCTAAGCTGTCAATCGTCTTACTGTATGTGCTTTTTAACTGTTACAACAATTAAATTCTTTGTACCAAACCCCGGGCCAAAAATATCTCAATATTTCCAAAAAAACACCATGTAAAATCACACAGCAAGTAGAGGTAAAAATGGAGATTATTGGCAGATAACATCGATAGTAAACTTCTTTTGCACTGTAATTGGTTAATTTATATGTCTGTTATTAGATCGACCTATAAAAACAATTGCTGGAAATATTCCCGCGAAATGCCACGCCCCCGAAGGCCACCACATGGAAGTATGTAAACAATCGCTATAGAATCGCGTGTTTTAATCTTTTTTTCCACTTCTAATTTGCTAATAATAAGTCGCTTGACATTATTTAGACGAATAAACATGTTTTCAACACCATTTAGCAATAAATATCGCCAAAAAACGCCACTTTTCAAACTGTCAATGTTAAGTCTATGGAAAACTTTTTTGCCTTTTATTGGTTTTAAAAATCCTGTTTTTACGCCTTTTATGCTGTCATTGGTCATTTCTAAGATGACTGACTCGATATCAACCAATAAGCGTTTTCTGGAAATAGCAAAACAAATCAACCCACCTCCGTTAGTCGCGCTAAAAAAAATTACACCGTTAGGCGCGCGGAGTACTATAGCACTCTACTGATTTCCATTGTAAGTCTATGCAAAAACTTTTTTTCGTGCAAATTTGAAATTTTTTCGTTGCGATCTTCACACCATGGAAGGAAGGTACTGAGGGCATCATTTTTAAGCACAAAAAATTTTAAAAAATACACGCGTTTAAACACCCCGGGGGTTCTATATCACCCCCCGCGCCTAAAGGATTTAGGCGCGGGGGGTGATATAGAACTTAGGCTACTTTCCATCTTACAGATAATAGTTTTGTGTAATACTGTATATGTATATTCTACGCTATAAACGTATTGATAGTTATATAACACAACAGTTATTTTACTAAAACAGTAGATCCCCTATAACATGGTAGATACGTTCTGTATTATATGAATTTGTCTTATATGAACTCTTGTTATAGGGAGGGTTTACTGTATTCATATTAATGTAATTTTTAAGTTCATTTTAGTGTTTTTAATATATTTATAAATATTTTTTATATATATTTTTATTATAGAATAATTTAAAAATGAAGAGAAAAAATTATTACTAATAATTTATTACAAAACTGTCAAATTGTTTTTTTTTATTTTTAGTGATTATAGGCCTACTCTTTATCACAAAGCTGAGAAAAGTCCGTTATGTCGATTCAAATCTGTAACAGACAGTTTAGAAAAGATCGTTAATGAAGGGATCGGTTGGATTTTGAATTTCTGGCACATGTGTATAGATAAATAACATCAACATAAAGCCCGATTGGTATACATACTAAACTTCCAAACGATCGCCTGAATAACGGGCTATAATATGGCTACTTAAAATGATTAGAACCAAAGCAATTTGTCTTAAGAGGTAAGCGTTAGGCGCCATCTCGTAACTAAATTAATAATTAAATAAATAAATAATTAATTAAATTAAATTTAGAACCTTCTGGAATAAAAGAACTGGCCCGGGACGGGGCTCGAACCCGCAACCTCCGCTTACCATGCGGTGCGCTACCAGTTACGCTACCCGGACCCCGAGCAAGCCTTCGCTTCCAGAAGTATATATAATAGATTAGATATAACCTTACTTGGTTAAATACATCACTGACTGGGGGCGACTTCATCGCCCACGACCCTCAATGGCACTCAGCCAGCTAACGTAACACCCGGCGAGGTATATATATATAAATAACATCAACATAAAGCCCGATTGGTATACATATAAAACTTCCAAACGATCGCCTGAATAACGGGCTATAATATGGCTACTTAAAATGATTAGAACCAAAGCAATTTGTCTTAAGAGGTAAGCGTTAGGCGCCATCTCGTAACTAAATTAATAATTAAATAAATATANATATATATTTATTTTATTCATAGGTTACGACAATTCAATTTACATGGAAGGCAGGCAGCTCAGAAGCTGGCCCTCATCATTACTAACCAATTTGACTAGCTGGGGTTTGCCCAAACTTACTATCGTTGGGACGTGGCGACCGGGTCAGTGTTGTATTCACTGACGAGCAGGTCTTTTGTTCAACAAGTAGCAGAACCGTGTGGGTGCATTGCTTACCCTCCATCAGGTTTAACCCAGAATACGTGTGGCGCACCCAAAGAAGCGGTCGCTTCTCGTTAGGTGAGTTTTGAAATTTCGTGTTTTCGTGTATTTATATCATAAACTCTTTGAACATGACAACATATCGGCATGTTCATTTTATAAATTACAAGTTTATTGACTTTTTCTGTTTACAGGTGTATGGGGATAGATGATAGCTGCAGAACCCGGGGAGTTAGTCCGGATATACGGTCACCTCACCGCCGTACAATACATAGAGATCCTCGAGCCGACATTGAGGGCCGTCTATGACAAAGAACAGTCCTACTTCGTTCACAACCACTCCCCGGTACATACAGCCAGAGTGTGTACGCAGTGGATGGAAGAACAGCCACAGATCATAGACACGGGATGGCCAGGGAGAGGGACAGACCTCAACCCCATTGAAAACGTATGCGCTCAGCTCTGCTACGACCGCATTCGGGCAGCAACTCCCAATGAACTGTGGGAAATCGTCAGAGTTCGTTGGGAAAAGCTTTGTGAGGGCATACTTTGTCAAAATCTTGTGTCAAGTATGCCCGAGCGACTGAATGACGTCGTGGACACAGGGTTGGAATGCAGACGAGGATCTGACCCTCTCCCCTCCATCCGCGATTTTTATTTTTGTTTAAAATGTGTTAAGAAAACAGAAGTTTTTATCTTAATTCCGTCATTAGAAGGCTTCTTTCAAAATCATGCTTAGAAAAATGTATAGATTTTGATTATTGAAATAAATATTCATTAGAAATTTAAAAAAGTGTATATATTTATTTTGTTTTAATATGTCGAAAATGGCTCCCGAATGGCATCTTTCCCGGATAAACAACTTTAAAGAGGCAACTTTACGCTTGCCTCGTAGACATGCGCAAATTGCAGATCCGGTAGAGGTGACAGAGATAGGATTAACAACAGACAATTATATGCGACAGACACCTGTTTATTCAATAACGAATATGGCCCCAACCTGTCTCTATAGGGCAGGCATACTAATACACACGGTACTAAAAGTTCTTTATTTCATAAGAAAAGTCGGTATTAAACGTATAAAGTACGTGTTTTCAATAGTATTTGGTCGGTCATTTTTAACGAAAAATTTTATTTTATTAGTGCATCTTTTTATTTGATAATTTAAAAAAAAATTATAATAACTTTATCCATATTTAAATGTGTGAGATATTAAATGCAAAAGCTAGCGACAGTTCAAAGAACGTGTATACATTTCATATGTCAGTCTTGTAGTTTCAACGTTGTGAGACTAAAGCACTGTGAATTTTACAGTTTCCAACGAAAAAGAGTTTGTTTTTCGTTGTATTCTTTATCCAAAAAAAAAGAAAACAAGAATTATTTTCCTAACAATAAATTATATATATATATATATGTTAATTTCCACGTATTTCCCACACAGGAATAGTACGACATACATGTACCGTATTATAATTTTCTGGTGTAGAACAAATTAAACCTCTCAATACCTGTCATACTCTACAGCTAGAAAATCAGTTCTCAACCAGTGGTACACGTACTGCCAGGAATAAGCTACAATTTAAAACAGAAATTTCGAAGAGGTACAGTACAAGAATGAATGATTGAGATCTGATGAAGTAATCGCGTGAATGTTCTATGTAATTCGCAATGGGCTTCTAATTGCATAACAATGACCCACCCATGGCGGAGTATATAAAAAACATCGAACACAGGCTAACGGTGGCGGTTCGAGTCCTATCGATGGGCGGAATGCGTGGGATTTTCGAGGCTCGAGTCACGTGTGTAACGGGTGAATAGGGACCACATTCACGTAGAAACTATTTAGTGAAAGAGATCCTAGTTTTGAATTGTGGTAATTCTAACATTAACACCGAATAAAAATGAATATTTATAAATAAACCGTTTGTTTTCTAAATGAGTTTTATTGACCGATCGGAAATAAACAAGCATTTTAACGTTATCTTTATTTAAATTTCTGGAATTAAGTGAATACAGTGAATAATGTTTACATTAATAATATTTTATTCTTAGTAGCAATTAGCAGTTTTCGTGTATTATTTACGTATACATTCAACCATTCAATTGATTTTATAAAATACAAATATAAATTAATATTCACGATAAATGCAGTTACATACGAAACTGGTAAATTGAAAATATGTTTTATTCCATTCGTCGGATTTTCATTTCCACCGACTCTACTTGTATCAAGTTACCATTAACGAACCATATCATTCCACCGGCACACTTGTAGCTTTTATTGTTTCCATGAGGAGTTCTGTGATTATAACAGGATAGATATCGATTGAACCAATATCCGCCTAACTTCAATCTTGTGCAGATTTCCTTCCAGAATCCATTATCGTATGTGCTGAATCTATTGTTTTTAAAATGACTTAAAGAATCACCTGCAAAATAAAAAGTTGTTTTAATACCGTTCGTTCTGAAAACTAACGTATTTTAAATGTAAAATACATAAAGATCTCACCTATATTTCCTTCAACGAAGTTATCGAACATCAATTTGTCATCTTCGTCTTCGCTACCAACTTTAAAATTTGAATAAACGGCATAATAATCTCCAGATTCTTCAAATTTTACCATCTTAATTCTCAGCATGTAATTTCCTTGAGCCGTTAATGAATGTATTTTGTCCAGTCCTAAATAAAATATTTTTTTATTAATCGCTCAATTAGCAAACATTTTTTATATTTGTAAAGTATTTACCTAACCAAAATTCTTTGTTTAATTCGCCGAAACCTTGGCGGTAATCTTCCCAGTTTTTGTAAAAATAGTTAGCTGGTTTACCATAGTCTCCTCTTCTCTCGAACACCTTAAAATTATCGAAATTTTTTTGATCAGTCTTTGATTATAATTATGTTAAGAACAAAATAAAGCAGTCCACAAAATCGCTTAATTATACAAAATACTAATCTGCAATAGAGTGTTAGTGTGTACTGATGTGTCCAAATTAGTTTAGCCAAATTTATTTTGAAGTTATTATTATTACGTTAAAGAGAATTTAAGAGTCTTACTGTCCAGTCTCCTCCGTCTTTTTCCATGTCGCAGTACACGGGAAAAAGAGGTTCGTTTGTTCTTCCCCTCGGACACACTGTGTAAATTCCGGATTCCTCGATGCCGGATTCTTTTAATTCTTCGCAATCCATGGGTCTAATAACTGCATACAAAAGAGTTTAAGTAAATTATAAAGTCTTTTATAAATAAAGCGAACCGAGAATATCTTACCGTCATCGAGTAACGCATCCCTCTTGTGACAAAGCACCTGTGTCGAATACAGGAAGAGAATTACACCCAGACAATACAAGGCTCGTTAAGTGAAAGACTTGTTTGTTAATCTTTATATTTAAAAGCGGGAGGAAGTGAGTGTTAAATGTGTGCGAGAGATAAGAATTTTAATTATAATAACCGGAATGTTCGTAGGAAGTAAATATTAATGTATTTGAGACCAATTAGAAGTAATTAAAGTTTTCCGTTCTGTATAATCACAACGATAATCGCCACTTAAGTTCATAATTTATTACTTTTATTCGGAATTTTATTCCATTATATTCAATTTTTTTCTCACAACTAGCGTGAAATTTCAGAAAATTAATAAGATTAATACGTGTAAAAATCTAATAAATTTATGTACAAGAGGAAGTTCTGTTCACTGTGCTGGTCTTCAGTTTTAACACCTTTCTTTTATTTAAAACATCGCCTGACTTTTCGTCCAGTCTGAAAAATCCTATAAGAGTAATCAGTGCTTCCAAACCCTACGCTTTTTTATATTTGGGCTCGATTTTATTTCGTTGTCGAGAATAAGGACAGACGGATAGTGAAATGGTTGCAGACGGGCAGACGTACGACCGTGGGAACTTAGGTCTGTAGTTTGGAAATTGTAGCTCAATAATTACAAATACTTTCTAAACAAGCCAAAACCAAAGACAATGATGAAATTCCTAAAATCAAGAAATTCAATATATTCACGTGCAAAGCTTTCATCACAATGCAATTTGCTACCTAAAGAACAGGAATTTGACGAATTTCTTTACCGAGTTCGTGAAAGGACTCGATGACGTTAAAGATTTCGTCACTTTTCTTTAAAACCGGACCGGAAATTATATGATAAATTGAGAAACTTTTGTGAAATTCCAAACCGATATTATTCAATTGAATAAACACGAATTTATTTTTGACTTTAACTGAATCGATCCGATAAAATATCGAAAGAATTAATCGGAAACAGCCGAATAAGGAATCAATTAGGTAATTATATTAAGGAAATACTTATAATTACGTTCGATAAATATCGACTTAAAACGATCATTTTCTACAATCTTCTATCATAAATCTTTATTTCATTTTAAAATTTAAATATTTCTTGCTTACAATTGAAATTAAATAAGAATATTTTTTTAATTTACGCAAGTTGTTTTTACGACAGTCGCTTGTTTTAATTGAAGAATGGATAATTTCAGAATTAAGAAAGTGCCACACTCCGGAAGATGATAAGCGAGAGGAAAGCGCCTCATCCTCCTCTTCCACTTCCCTTCCAGTGATTCGGGTGCTTCCGAAAGATGTTGAGCGGAAGTCGCTTACACCCGACGGGAAACGTGAGGTTGTCAAATCTCCGAACGAAAGCGCCTCGTCTTCGGTCGATCACCTGGGATGACGATACCCGGAAGTTGCGAAATAGGACAAGCGGTCGCGCGAGGTAGGAGTCGTCGAAAGTAAGAAGCTTTGGTGGAATAAGCTTTTCTTTTTCAGCACAAGATAATCCTTTTCTCAGTCGACTTTACCAGGCGGAAAAGACCTTTTACTCGACTGCGACTTAACGGACTGGACCCAACTTTTCATTTAACTTGGATTCTTTTCTTTCCACTTCACGGACAGATACTACGGTGCCGGCCGAGGACTCGTTCTTCCACTTGGATTAAAGTAAAATCCACGGAACAACGACGATGTGACGACGAAATCATAAGACATTCTTATCATTGTTTCTCGAGTTTCTCGATTTTAAAGACTGTTGTCAAAACCAGAGATGTCCAATCCGCGGCCCAATTAATATTTTTATGCGGCCCACTGCACTCTAAATATACGACGTGAAATCAAAATAGCGCAATCTCCAGTAACAAAGAAATTTCAATCTTTTGCCACTACCAATAAGGGCACAAATGAAAAAAGCATAGAAAATAAATTAACTTGCTTTAATGTCCTTAACACTTATTTTATTCCAACGTAAACTTATCAGATTAATATGACTATTACACCGGAGTCTTGGGCTATTACCAAAAGGAGAAGTTTCTGATTAAGAACTCCTCCATTCGTTAATAGCCAACACACCGGTGTAATAGCCTTTCTCCAAATTCTTTTGTTGGTTTTTCCAAATTTTTCGTAATAAAACATCTCTTCTGCATCCGCGTTACACAAGTTCGACTTAGAGTAAAATTTAGCATACAGAATCGCTTCGTTCCGAAAAAGTTTCCGTTTACGCGGATTTCCGCTTTATACTTTCGTTTTACTTCGACTTTCAAGTCTGTTGCCCTTTCTTTTGTTCTTCACGCTTTTTCCCAATGAAATCGTGCTTTTTCTTTTCGCCATCTTGCACAAGGGATGAATAATAAAGTACTAATTCATGCACGAAATCTGTAGTGTTGATTGCACTTTGTCCACATTTCGTGTAGTAAATAAGGAAACGAGACTTACACTAGAAAACAGAATTCTTGCCACTAGAGAGCGTGTTATAAGCCTAAGCAATGGCTGAACACTATTGTATTAATTCGACAATTTACGAGATTATTGGCCTACTAAAACTTTTTATATTCGGAGTGAACGTAAACTGGTTTGCATTCTTCCTCGTAAACATTTACTTATAAACATTTCGACTTTAAATAATTAAAAACAAAATTGCCTTTTCTTAACTGGAGTGTTACGTCACAAATGCGGATGTAACCCGTACCGAGTGACGTTCCTTCCGCTTCCACTATACTCGTTCGAATGTCGGGTCGTAACTTACGGCGATTGATGTAATTTCATACGTTGTTTCGATGATGACATATGTTATTGTTACCGATTGAAATTTTCTCGTTGTCTAACAATGTTTGCGATGACGTTTGTGATGACGTACAATACACATACCAAAAAACAGTTCTACGTAATAAAGACATTCACTACTTACAGAAGGATCAGTCGTAAGATGACGAATTATTTATTTATTTGTTTAACAATTAAATGCAAACGATAAAAAAAGTAATTACCTATAAAAACTAAACATTTAAGTCTGTAAATGACCACATTTACTACAATTATTTCCTCGTCTTTTAAACTTCTTTCGTCTTCGGTTTTGTTTTAAAGTTTATTTTTCCGTGTTTTCCTTTATCAAACTTCAACATCCTTTTTTTCGTTGGTAAAATTTATTAATTTTAGATGCAAACTTTCGCAATTTATTTAAGTTTCTTACTCGAAGATTAATTTATTTTCATTTTTCAAATTTTCATAAATTAATTGACACGCCTTAGAGAAAAAATAATATTTTAATTTACAATATGAATTTATTTAAACGAACAACACACTTGTAACAAATGTGCAAAACAAACTTTTTATTAAAATGATATATTTATTTAACGTTAATCCGATATTGTTTCTATTATTACAACGGAAATAAACGAGGAGATTAAAAACTGTATACGTAATATTTCTGGCGGAAATGACGATTCGATGTCGCAGACGTCAGAATTTCAGTCTGTCAGAAGAAAGTAGTAACAGTACTAAATATGTAAATACGGTTTGACTATTATGTATTGTTCGTCGACTGTTTTTGACGCTCTTCGTGTCGAATGAATTAGAATTTTCGTCGGTCGAGATGAGGTTTGTTATCGTTTTGCAATTGCTATTTTTAGTGGTAAATTCTTGTCAAGACTTGGAAAAGTTGGGAAAATGTTTCTTGTACGTCATGGGGAGACAGCTGCTTCGAATCAAAGAACTTTTCCTCCGTTGAAATATTTAATCAAACATTAACCATCGAGTGCGGACAAAAAAACGATTGACTCTCGTTTGATGAGATGTTTGGACGTTACAAATGTACAAGAGATATTATTTAAAGATTGTTTTTTGTCCGGAGTTGACTTTGGAATATTCACGTTCGGACATCGAATCGAACACGCCAATATATGGTATCTATCAATCCTGTATGAAAATAACTTCTAAAGCGCTTCGTTTAATAAACTCCATCTCGTTGAAAGATTGCGTCGTTACCTCGCGAACAATCTTCCATCGATGCCACGAGGAAATATTGGAAAATATAACGATGGCAAGAATTTAACCCGAATAATAAAACAGATTTAAAAGAGAAATGTACCAAAATTTGCTCCGAAATTAGACTAGAACAACGAAAATCATTTATTGATACTACGTTAATAAGAATTATTTAGACACGTCACAATGCCGGGCTGCGAGTTTTAATTTAAAATATACGCTCTCCGTTTCAAATTAATAGTGACTCGGCCTCGTTCATTACTTTTAATTTAACAATAAAGTCGTGCCGCTCATTTATATAACCCTTCTCGAGGCAGAAAATATTTGAATCGAAGTAACGCGACTTCCGGTTTGCATCGGGCCTTTTTATATAGTTAATCGTGGCCCGAAGTTTTTATATCTGCTCTCGACTTTCATCCGCTTTCATCTTCCTCGCTCGAGATTAAGGAAGGTCGGACGGACGGACGAGTCTACAAGTTTTTCAACTTGCAGCTGAATAAAATCTGTAATTCGTAATAAAAAAGATTTAAACTTTTTAAACGCGATTTCAAATACTCTCAAGTTTTCGAAAATCATTCATTTACGTAAGAAATTCCGATCCTTTAACAGTGTTTATTTATTACTTTCCGGTTGTTTTATCGATGACGGAGGGAAATTATGACGATTCGGGAAAAATAACTTGGCCCCAAATTTTTACATTTTCGGGCTCAGAAAACCTCGAAACGTCGAGAAATGCAACAAAAGTCGGGGAGAAGTAATACCTGTATGTATGGATGTTACTGTGTGTGTGTGTGGCACAATATTATTCACCGTGTTCGAAGCTTAATAACCCCCGTACGTTTTGTCGAAGGTTTCTGAAATTTTGAAACGTTTTGTCCATTTATTAGAAGAATCGATGCTATAATTAAAAGTCGAAGGGTGGNCAAGTAAGGTTATATCTAATCTATTATATATACTTCTGGAAGCGAAGGCTTGCTCGGGGTCCGGGTAGCGTAACTGGTAGCGCACCGCATGGTAAGCGGAGGTTGCGGGTTCGAGCCCCGTCCCGGGCCAGTTCTTTTATTCCAGAAGGTTCTAAATTTAATTTAATTAATTATTTATTTATTTAATTATTAATTTAGTTACGAGATGGCGCCTAACGCTTACCTCTTAAGACAAATTGCTTTGGTTCTAATCATTTTAAGTAGCCATATTATAGCCCGTTATTCAGGCGATCGTTTGGAAGTTTAGCATGTGTATAGAGTTACAGACGATTGGCGAAGCATGACGCCATGCCATGACGTCATGTTGCAGACCTGCGATAGAGCGACGACCAGAGTACTGATTGGTTGGCCAGCGCACAGTCGACAACTATATAAAATCGACGTGGAAGGGGGAAGTTCAAATTTATCCAACCGAGATGTCGAAGCCACTTTGTAAGGAAATACTTTAGCTGATTGTGAAACACCCAGCAGAGGTGAAACGTTCAGGAGATTGCCGAATGCCTCAAGATATCAACGAGAAGGGTATGGCGCGACCTCAAGCTACATCGCGACACAGAGTCTGTGTCGCCATGGAAAGATCACAAAATTGAGCTGGATCTGTAGATAAGGTCAAGAGAAGGTTTGTAACATTTGTAGTACAATATTCCGATCTTCCAACGAAATTATCCCTATCGATGTAATGAATTTCCAGAAATACAACTTTATTAACTTGTTCTTGCGTATACAGAAATGTAGGAAGCAGGATAATATATATATTTATTTTATTCATAGGTTACGACAATTCAATTTACATGGAAGGCAGGCAGCTCAGAAGCTGGCCCTCATCATTACTAACCAATTTGACTAGCTGGGGTTTGCCCAAACTTACTATCGTTGGGACGTGGCGACCGGGTCAGTGTTGTATTCACTGACGAGCAGGTCTTTTGTTCAACAAGTAGCAGAACCGTGTGGGTGCATTGCTTACCCTCCATCAGGTTTAACCCAGAATACGTGTGGCGCACCCAAAGAAGCGGTCGCTTCTCGTTAGGTGAGTTTTGAAATTTCGTGTTTTCGTGTATTTATATCATAAACTCTTTGAACATGACAACATATCGGCATGTTCATTTTATAAATTACAAGTTTATTGACTTTTTCTGTTTACAGGTGTATGGGGATAGATGATAGCTGCAGAACCCGGGGAGTTAGTCCGGATATACGGTCACCTCACCGCCGTACAATACATAGAGATCCTCGAGCCGACATTGAGGGCCGTCTATGACAAAGAACAGTCCTACTTCGTTCACAACCACTCCCCGGTACATACAGCCAGAGTGTGTACGCAGTGGATGGAAGAACAGCCACAGATCATAGACACGGGATGGCCAGGGAGAGGGACAGACCTCAACCCCATTGAAAACGTATGCGCTCAGCTCTGCTACGACCGCATTCGGGCAGCAACTCCCAATGAACTGTGGGAAATCGTCAGAGTTCGTTGGGAAAAGCTTTGTGAGGGCATACTTTGTCAAAATCTTGTGTCAAGTATGCCCGAGCGACTGAATGACGTCGTGGACACAGGGTTGGAATGCAGACGAGGATCTGACCCTCTCCCCTCCATCCGCGATTTTTATTTTTGTTTAAAATGTGTTAAGAAAACAGAAGTTTTTATCTTAATTCCGTCATTAGAAGGCTTCTTTCAAAATCATGCTTAGAAAAATGTATAGATTTTGATTATTGAAATAAATATTCATTAGAAATTTAAAAAAGTGTATATATTTATTTTGTTTTAATATGTCGAAAATGGCTCCCGAATGGCATCTTTCCCGGATAAACAACTTTAAAGAGGCAACTTTACGCTTGCCTCGTAGACATGCGCAAATTGCAGATCCGGTAGAGGTGACAGAGATAGGATTAACAACAGACAATTATATGCGACAGACACCTGTTTATTCAATAACGAATATGGCCCCAACCTGTCTCTATAGGGCAGGCATACTAATACACACGGTACTAAAAGTTCTTTATTTCATAAGAAAAGTCGGTATTAAACGTATAAAGTACGTGTTTTCAATAGTATTTGGTCGGTCATTTTTAACGAAAAATTTTATTTTATTAGTGCATCTTTTTATTTGATAATTTAAAAAAAAATTATAATAACTTTATCCATATTTAAATGTGTGAGATATTAAATGCAAAAGCTAGCGACAGTTCAAAGAACGTGTATACATTTCATATGTCAGTCTTGTAGTTTCAACGTTGTGAGACTAAAGCACTGTGAATTTTACAGTTTCCAACGAAAAAGAGTTTGTTTTTCGTTGTATTCTTTATCCAAAAAAAAAGAAAACAAGAATTATTTTCCTAACAATAAATTATATATATATATATATGTTAATTTCCACGTATTTCCCACACAGGAATAGTACGACATACATGTACCGTATTATAATTTTCTGGTGTAGAACAAATTAAACCTCTCAATACCTGTCATACTCTACAGCTAGAAAATCAGTTCTCAACCAGTGGTACACGTACTGCCAGGAATAAGCTACAATTTAAAACAGAAATTTCGAAGAGGTACAGTACAAGAATGAATGATTGAGATCTGATGAAGTAATCGCGTGAATGTTCTATGTAATTCGCAATGGGCTTCTAATTGCATAACAATGACCCACCCATGGCGGAGTATATAAAAAACATCGAACACAGGCTAACGGTGGCGGTTCGAGTCCTATCGATGGGCGGAATGCGTGGGATTTTCGAGGCTCGAGTCACGTGTGTAACGGGTGAATAGGGACCACATTCACGTAGAAACTATTTAGTGAAAGAGATCCTAGTTTTGAATTGTGGTAATTCTAACATTAACACCGAATAAAAATGAATATTTATAAATAAACCGTTTGTTTTCTAAATGAGTTTTATTGACCGATCGGAAATAAACAAGCATTTTAACGTTATCTTTATTTAAATTTCTGGAATTAAGTGAATACAGTGAATAATGTTTACATTAATAATATTTTATTCTTAGTAGCAATTAGCAGTTTTCGTGTATTATTTACGTATACATTCAACCATTCAATTGATTTTATAAAATACAAATATAAATTAATATTCACGATAAATGCAGTTACATACGAAACTGGTAAATTGAAAATATGTTTTATTCCATTCGTCGGATTTTCATTTCCACCGACTCTACTTGTATCAAGTTACCATTAACGAACCATATCATTCCACCGGCACACTTGTAGCTTTTATTGTTTCCATGAGGAGTTCTGTGATTATAACAGGATAGATATCGATTGAACCAATATCCGCCTAACTTCAATCTTGTGCAGATTTCCTTCCAGAATCCATTATCGTATGTGCTGAATCTATTGTTTTTAAAATGACTTAAAGAATCACCTGCAAAATAAAAAGTTGTTTTAATACCGTTCGTTCTGAAAACTAACGTATTTTAAATGTAAAATACATAAAGATCTCACCTATATTTCCTTCAACGAAGTTATCGAACATCAATTTGTCATCTTCGTCTTCGCTACCAACTTTAAAATTTGAATAAACGGCATAATAATCTCCAGATTCTTCAAATTTTACCATCTTAATTCTCAGCATGTAATTTCCTTGAGCCGTTAATGAATGTATTTTGTCCAGTCCTAAATAAAATATTTTTTTATTAATCGCTCAATTAGCAAACATTTTTTATATTTGTAAAGTATTTACCTAACCAAAATTCTTTGTTTAATTCGCCGAAACCTTGGCGGTAATCTTCCCAGTTTTTGTAAAAATAGTTAGCTGGTTTACCATAGTCTCCTCTTCTCTCGAACACCTTAAAATTATCGAAATTTTTTTGATCAGTCTTTGATTATAATTATGTTAAGAACAAAATAAAGCAGTCCACAAAATCGCTTAATTATACAAAATACTAATCTGCAATAGAGTGTTAGTGTGTACTGATGTGTCCAAATTAGTTTAGCCAAATTTATTTTGAAGTTATTATTATTACGTTAAAGAGAATTTAAGAGTCTTACTGTCCAGTCTCCTCCGTCTTTTTCCATGTCGCAGTACACGGGAAAAAGAGGTTCGTTTGTTCTTCCCCTCGGACACACTGTGTAAATTCCGGATTCCTCGATGCCGGATTCTTTTAATTCTTCGCAATCCATGGGTCTAATAACTGCATACAAAAGAGTTTAAGTAAATTATAAAGTCTTTTATAAATAAAGCGAACCGAGAATATCTTACCGTCATCGAGTAACGCATCCCTCTTGTGACAAAGCACCTGTGTCGAATACAGGAAGAGAATTACACCCAGACAATACAAGGCTCGTTAAGTGAAAGACTTGTTTGTTAATCTTTATATTTAAAAGCGGGAGGAAGTGAGTGTTAAATGTGTGCGAGAGATAAGAATTTTAATTATAATAACCGGAATGTTCGTAGGAAGTAAATATTAATGTATTTGAGACCAATTAGAAGTAATTAAAGTTTTCCGTTCTGTATAATCACAACGATAATCGCCACTTAAGTTCATAATTTATTACTTTTATTCGGAATTTTATTCCATTATATTCAATTTTTTTCTCACAACTAGCGTGAAATTTCAGAAAATTAATAAGATTAATACGTGTAAAAATCTAATAAATTTATGTACAAGAGGAAGTTCTGTTCACTGTGCTGGTCTTCAGTTTTAACACCTTTCTTTTATTTAAAACATCGCCTGACTTTTCGTCCAGTCTGAAAAATCCTATAAGAGTAATCAGTGCTTCCAAACCCTACGCTTTTTTATATTTGGGCTCGATTTTATTTCGTTGTCGAGAATAAGGACAGACGGATAGTGAAATGGTTGCAGACGGGCAGACGTACGACCGTGGGAACTTAGGTCTGTAGTTTGGAAATTGTAGCTCAATAATTACAAATACTTTCTAAACAAGCCAAAACCAAAGACAATGATGAAATTCCTAAAATCAAGAAATTCAATATATTCACGTGCAAAGCTTTCATCACAATGCAATTTGCTACCTAAAGAACAGGAATTTGACGAATTTCTTTACCGAGTTCGTGAAAGGACTCGATGACGTTAAAGATTTCGTCACTTTTCTTTAAAACCGGACCGGAAATTATATGATAAATTGAGAAACTTTTGTGAAATTCCAAACCGATATTATTCAATTGAATAAACACGAATTTATTTTTGACTTTAACTGAATCGATCCGATAAAATATCGAAAGAATTAATCGGAAACAGCCGAATAAGGAATCAATTAGGTAATTATATTAAGGAAATACTTATAATTACGTTCGATAAATATCGACTTAAAACGATCATTTTCTACAATCTTCTATCATAAATCTTTATTTCATTTTAAAATTTAAATATTTCTTGCTTACAATTGAAATTAAATAAGAATATTTTTTTAATTTACGCAAGTTGTTTTTACGACAGTCGCTTGTTTTAATTGAAGAATGGATAATTTCAGAATTAAGAAAGTGCCACACTCCGGAAGATGATAAGCGAGAGGAAAGCGCCTCATCCTCCTCTTCCACTTCCCTTCCAGTGATTCGGGTGCTTCCGAAAGATGTTGAGCGGAAGTCGCTTACACCCGACGGGAAACGTGAGGTTGTCAAATCTCCGAACGAAAGCGCCTCGTCTTCGGTCGATCACCTGGGATGACGATACCCGGAAGTTGCGAAATAGGACAAGCGGTCGCGCGAGGTAGGAGTCGTCGAAAGTAAGAAGCTTTGGTGGAATAAGCTTTTCTTTTTCAGCACAAGATAATCCTTTTCTCAGTCGACTTTACCAGGCGGAAAAGACCTTTTACTCGACTGCGACTTAACGGACTGGACCCAACTTTTCATTTAACTTGGATTCTTTTCTTTCCACTTCACGGACAGATACTACGGTGCCGGCCGAGGACTCGTTCTTCCACTTGGATTAAAGTAAAATCCACGGAACAACGACGATGTGACGACGAAATCATAAGACATTCTTATCATTGTTTCTCGAGTTTCTCGATTTTAAAGACTGTTGTCAAAACCAGAGATGTCCAATCCGCGGCCCAATTAATATTTTTATGCGGCCCACTGCACTCTAAATATACGACGTGAAATCAAAATAGCGCAATCTCCAGTAACAAAGAAATTTCAATCTTTTGCCACTACCAATAAGGGCACAAATGAAAAAAGCATAGAAAATAAATTAACTTGCTTTAATGTCCTTAACACTTATTTTATTCCAACGTAAACTTATCAGATTAATATGACTATTACACCGGAGTCTTGGGCTATTACCAAAAGGAGAAGTTTCTGATTAAGAACTCCTCCATTCGTTAATAGCCAACACACCGGTGTAATAGCCTTTCTCCAAATTCTTTTGTTGGTTTTTCCAAATTTTTCGTAATAAAACATCTCTTCTGCATCCGCGTTACACAAGTTCGACTTAGAGTAAAATTTAGCATACAGAATCGCTTCGTTCCGAAAAAGTTTCCGTTTACGCGGATTTCCGCTTTATACTTTCGTTTTACTTCGACTTTCAAGTCTGTTGCCCTTTCTTTTGTTCTTCACGCTTTTTCCCAATGAAATCGTGCTTTTTCTTTTCGCCATCTTGCACAAGGGATGAATAATAAAGTACTAATTCATGCACGAAATCTGTAGTGTTGATTGCACTTTGTCCACATTTCGTGTAGTAAATAAGGAAACGAGACTTACACTAGAAAACAGAATTCTTGCCACTAGAGAGCGTGTTATAAGCCTAAGCAATGGCTGAACACTATTGTATTAATTCGACAATTTACGAGATTATTGGCCTACTAAAACTTTTTATATTCGGAGTGAACGTAAACTGGTTTGCATTCTTCCTCGTAAACATTTACTTATAAACATTTCGACTTTAAATAATTAAAAACAAAATTGCCTTTTCTTAACTGGAGTGTTACGTCACAAATGCGGATGTAACCCGTACCGAGTGACGTTCCTTCCGCTTCCACTATACTCGTTCGAATGTCGGGTCGTAACTTACGGCGATTGATGTAATTTCATACGTTGTTTCGATGATGACATATGTTATTGTTACCGATTGAAATTTTCTCGTTGTCTAACAATGTTTNTAGATTTTATTGGGCTGCAAATTTGTAGATCGATAAATTCCCACAGTCGTCGTTCGTCTGTTATCTGTCTGGAGAAAGGAGTTAAACGGATGAAAGCCGATAGCAGATATGAAAAGTTTAGTGGCAGTAGGTCCGATATAGGAAGGTTCGACGGAAACCGAAAGTCACGTTACTTCAATTGTAATACTTTCTGCCACGAAAGGGGTTATATAAATCAGGGGTGGCCAACGAGTCGATCGCGATGTCTCGACTTAATACGTTACACTCGTAACCGAACGTAACGCGCAAACGCAACTGCGGCGATATCGGACCTCCGCGTCCTCCCTCAAATGCAGTTTTGTCGGTCCTTTTGTAATCCATTTGCATACAGTTGTAAAGGGAGAATAAGAAATGTAGACAATGGGTCGTAAAACCGAAAAAAAGAAGGCCGGGAAGAGGGACAGAGAGAGTAGATCGAGACACGGTAGACAGAGGAAGGGTGAAGTGGTGGTCCCCGAAAGTGACAACGTTGATTTTCAATTTTTCTTCTGTTTAAAATATAAGTACCTTTTCTTCCTGTTTTAAATTAAATTGTGGCTTTTCTTACCTATGTAAACATAGTATGCATTTCACACCTCTCCTTCGCCACTTAGACTACGCCCACGACAACCAGTCGATCGCGACACATTTTCAAGTTGAAAAGTAAATCTTACGTACACAATAGTTGGCCACTCCTGATATAGATGATCGGCACAACTCTATTGTTAAATGAAAAGTGTGAAATACGTGGCCGAGCCATTACTAATTTCGGGTGGAGAGATATATTTTAAATTAAAAATTACTAGAAATATGGTTAAAATTGAAGCCCGACATTGTGACCGCCTCACAATAGATAACTCTTTTTAACGTACTATTGAATTAATAAGTGATTTTCGTGGTTGTAGTCTAATTTCAGACCAAATTTCTTACATTTTTCTTTTAAATCTGTTATATTTTTTGGGTTAGATTCTCACCGTCATTGTAGTGTTTCCGGGTCAGTCCGACAGCGTTATATTTTAAGATGTAATTCATTTTTTGACATCTTTGAACGTGTGACTTTAAACTGCATCTTATTGAAAGATTGCGTCGTCACCTCGCGAACGATCTTCCATCGATGCCACGAGGAAATATTGGAAAATATAACGATGGCAAGAATTTAACCCGAATAATAAAACAAATTTAAAAGAGAAATGTACCAAAATTTGCTTTGAAATTAGACTAGAACAACGAAAATCATTTATTGATACTACGTTAATCAGAATTATTTAGACACGTCACAATGCCGGGCTACGAGCTTTAATTTAAAATATACGCTCTCCGTTTCAAATTAATAGTGACTCGGTCTCGTTCATTACTTTTCATTTAACAATAGATTCGCGCCGATTATTTATATAACTTAACCCTTTTCGAAGCAGAAAATATTTGAATCGAAGTAACTCGACTTCCGGTTTGCATCGGGCCTTTTTATACAGTTAATCATGGCCCGAAGTTTTTATATCTGCACTCGACTTTCGTCCGCTTTGTAACTCCTCGCTCGAGATTAAGGAAGGTCGGACGGACGGACGAGTCTACAAATTTTTCAAATTGCAGCTGAATAAAATCTGTAATTCGTAATAAAGGAGATTTAACAAAATATTAAAATAAAACAGTTTAAACTTTTTAAACGCGATTTCAAATACTCTCAAGTTTTCGAAAATCATTCATTTACGTAAGAAATTCCGATCCTTTAACAGTGTTTATTTATTACTTTCCGGTTGTTTTATCGATGACGGAGGGAAATTATGACGATTCGGGAAAAATAACTTGGCCCCAAATTTTTACATTTTCGGGCTCAGAAAACCTCGAAACGTCGAGAAATGCAACAAAAGTCGGGGAGAAGTAATACCTGTATGTATGGATGTTACTGTGTGTGTGTGTGGCACAATATTATTCACCGTGTTCGAAGCTTAATAACCCCCGTACGTTTTGTCGAAGGTTTCTGAAATTTTGAAACGTTTTGTCCATTTATTAGAAGAATCGATGCTATAATTAAAAGTCGAAGGGTGGAAAGATAAAGGGGCGATATGTATCTCCAGTTTTTACTGTTTATTAGCAATTTTTTATAAAACTCGTCTCTACCCTCAAAATTATGCTTTTTGCAATTTTATTATAGTTCAAAATATAAAAATTTTTAGAATAACATTCCATAACGGATGGCGTCATCAAATCTTATTTTCATTTCAAAAACTTTCTGTACAGAAAATATCGTTTAATTATTAAACTCCAATATTTATTTATGCTTAATTTACTGCTTTATTGTGCAATAATTATACATTTTATATAATTTGTGATAAAAATGAAAAAAAGTACACAAACTTAATTTCAATAAAAGCAAATAAAAAATAATAACAATTTATGAGCAATTATTCATTCAAGCCATCGAACACGGGGCATTTTAATTATACTATTTACACAATTTTTCAGGCGTAAATATTATAATAAATCACTTCTTCTTCCTTAGGCTTTGGCACTTTGTGGACGTTTCCTTTTTTGCCACAATAAACAGAGTAAGCAAACACAATCCAACCGAATAACAATAGCGAAGTAAGAATGGCCACTGCGATTTTCTATCCAAAAACAGAACTGACTTCATCCAATCAATCTTCGTTCGAAGAAGAATCATTTACTGAAAATGTCAAATTTATTTCTGGAATTTCTGTGCATTCTTCATTGGAAATAATTTCGATGAAAGACACAAAAGACGAATTTCTTCTGCAGTAAATATTGGAGAAATCTGCAATTTTCTGTCGGTTTCTAAGCAACCAATCCTTAATAAAAAGCGAATGACAATGGCAATTCCAATTGTTTCTCGATAAGTATAGTGTAAATTCCGGAGAAACGTCGATCAAGTTCATTAATCCGTAAGACAATTCGGTTAATTGATTTCCGTCCAACCACAGAGATTTAACGTTTGGCAAAAGAACACAATCCCAAATAATACTTATTGAATTATTACTCAGACGCAGATGGGTGACGTTTTTCCACGTCACACGATCGACATCCGCCAACTCCTTTATATAATTATTACTCAAATCGACAAACGTCGCATTCGGGACGAGAACTTCGGGAATTCGGTCGATTCCCTTTCCGGAACAATCCACTATCACGTGATTTTCTTCGGTAAAACATTGGCAATTCATCGGACAATAATTTCCTATGACTACGGAAGATGTATTATCCAGCAAATTTCTTTCTTCTCCGTAACATTTCGTGTTTTCTATATCTGGAAATATTCTCTTTGCCACTTCTACATTTGACTTAAGGGCAGAAACGAATTGCTGCAGTTCGTAGTCACAAGTAATTTCGTTATTACTTAAATCATAAGACGGCATTTGAAATCCATATTGTTTGTCATCGATGTAAATTGTTTTGATTTTACATTTAGACAGATTAATTACCACGCGATTTGGAGTGTAAATTGGCAATTTGACGGTTTCGAAACGATTATTTGAAAAATCGACTTCAGTCAAGTTGTATTCTGACCAATCTAACACCGGCCATTGTGTCAAACCTGCATATTTTAAACGGACATAATTTAAATTCTTGCTGCTGCCAAAAGGATGCTCACCGATAATTTTAGTTAAATTATTGTTAGATAGATCGAGACGGGTTAAATTAGTCAAAGGGAAAAAGATATTTTCGGGTAAAAATGTCAGGCGATTGAATGATAAACTGAGTTCTTGCAATGACAATAAATTCAGAAAAACATCTTCTGGAAGATTTTCTAACCGGTTTCCCAACAACGATAACCATCGAAGTTCAGAAAGTCTGTGAAATATTTCTGTAGGAAGTGTCGATATTTTATTGTTCGAACAAGAAAACTGTGTCAGTCGTTTGTTATTTCTCAGAAGATTTGGCGGGAGATGTTCAATTTGGTTGGAATCTAAATTGACGATTTCCAAATTAATTAAGTCAGAAAATACGTCTTCTGCGAGTGAAGAAATCGAACATCTCGATGCAATAAACATAGTCAAATTGTGCAGTTTTTTAAAAAATCCGGAAGGAATTACTGATAATTCACGGTTCCCCTGAATAAAAAATAACCTTAAATTAAAAAGACCTTTCAACATGCCACTGGGTAAATCCTTTATCCGATTCAAACCTAAATCCAAATATTCCAATCGAGTGAGATTTCTAAAGACAAGTGGATTAATCGATTCAAGTTTATTGTCATTTAAATCAAGTTTTGTCAAATTGTGAAGATTATAAAATAGATCTGGTAAAACTTTTAACTTACCATACTTGATGTATAATTCGGAAAGATTAATTAACTCTCGGAACGGTTTGTTGGGAAATAAAGTGAAGTTATAGCCGCCAATTCTCAATGAAGTCAGCGATGGAACATTGCGAAATGTTAAGTTTAGAATTTCCGACGTTCTCATGTTTCGTATGTCGACAGATCGCAGAGAGGACATGTTATTAAACGAGGCGCTCTCGAAGTTTCTTTTCTGCTGGCGTCTTTCGTAAAATATATGAACTCGTTCGATTTCATATCCGAAAGTAAATATTCCAAAGTCGATCCCCGACAGATAACAATTTCTAATAAATAACTTTTGTACATTTCTAACATTCAAACATCGCATTAAACGAGAGTCGATCCTTTCCTGGCCGCACTCGATGGATAAAGATCGATCGAATATTTTAACGGAGGATAAGTGCTTCAATTCGTAGCATCTCTCTATCCATGACAAACAAGAAACATTTCCCCAATGTTGCCGAAACGCTCGACAAGAATTTACCGCTAAAAATAGCAATTGAAAAACGATAACAAACCTCATCTCGTCCGAAGACACTTCTAACTCAGTCGACACGAACAGCTGCAAAAACAGTGGACGAAAGATACGCAATAGCGAAATTGCGTACTTGCGAATTTGATACTGTTGCTACTTGCTCGCGACTGATTGAAAACACGATAAATTATGACGTCGGTGACATCGATTCGTCATTTCGAACAGAAATATGACGTATGTAATATTTTATTTCCTCGTTTATTTCCGCTGCAGTGAAAGGAACAAGATCGGATTAACGTTAAATGAATATTTTAGAAATACAAAATTTGTTTCGTACGTTTATTGCGAGTGAGTTGTTCGTTTAATGAGATTGATATTGTAAATAAAATATTATTTATTTTCTTTCTCTAAGATGTTTATGGATGGTGTTAATTAATTGTGTTTTGCGACACAAAGGAATGTTTCTGTCCGACTCCAGTTAAATTACTGTAATAAAAATGTTATCACTGAATGTGAAAGAAATATAAAATGTATTCGTTTCGTATTCGTTTAAATAGAAATCATTTCGTTGGGTACATTTCGATCGTATTATGACGAAATATAAAATATTTCTTGCGGATTATTCTTATTTTTTTCTCAAACTTAAGGGAAAATAAAAGTACCGTCTTTTGTTACGTAAAAAAGACAGAAAAAATAATTAAAAGCATAGCATTGATTTCCTGTGCGAATAAAACTCCGACCATTTGTAATGTTTAAGGCATTTAATCGAGGCGCGAATCTGAATACTAGCGTATAGGACACAGCTTCTGGGTGGGAAGCGGCGTTAATTTTTCGTCTCACGAGAGAGTTATAGCTCCCAATTGGAGGGGGTTTAAGAAATAAAAGAGACGGAGATCCGAGGTTCGGAGCGGACATTCCTCCCGAAAAGAGCGGATCAAAGTTCCGTCGGTCAAACTTCTCGTCTCGCCACTCCAGTCGATCTCCACAGAACTCTCGAACTACTACCCGGAAGCCGACTCAAGTATACTAGAAGACGTTGGTCCGTTCGACGAGAGGTATTATAGGTCGATGTAAACTCTCTGTCGGTCAATTAGCGTATAAGTACTTAGATTTTGATATAGTTTATTTCTTAAATGTAGCATTGGACGAAGATGATGATCGTGCTCGTATATAGACTTACTGCTGTAATTTTAGTGTAACCGTTGTTGTATTTAGCTTATTAATTAAACCGTTATCGTTTGTTAATTATCGATCGTAATTATAAGTATTTCCTTAATATAATTACCTAATTGATTCCTTATTTGGCTTTTTGTGATTAATTCTTTACATCTCTACAAAGTAGATATTATTATTATTATCGCGGGTCCCTAACCGCTCGAGAGAGAGTTGGCAATAGTCGGTGAGTTGATATATAAAGGAGAGGAGGGTATTATGGAATACCGTTTACATTTCTAAAAATAACTTTACTGGTTTTTGAATAAAAATCCATGGTACGACGACAATGAGCGGTCGACTCTCGCTGCGCTGCCTCGTGGGAGTCTTTCTCGAGTAGTTCGTGGTATTCCCACGTAATAGCAGCGACAAACGAAGCCGAAACATCGATATTCCATACCGGACTATTTCATAATACCCTCCTCTAATATCATACTCAAGTCGAGATTGGTTCCTTTGAAATCGAAGAATCGGCGAATCGATGAACTGCTGGTTCGCCGGGTGGTTCGTTAGAATCTCGACGAGTCGAAAAAGTGCGAAAGTCTCTCGATGTCTCGAGATATACGTCGGCTCGAGCGGCGATCGTCATCTCTTTCTTTTTATTAGGGGATCCTTCCAGTTTCTTCTTTTACCCTTATTATAAAATGTTATAATCAGGGCCAATGTTTGAATTTCGATCGTAGGTTCCGGGTGACGCATTAAAAAGATGTGTCACTTTGGGAAAGAAGTAAATCCGGAGAAACATATAATCGTATCATTCCGGTTTTTTATTGTGTTGGGAGAAAATATAGAATTTTCTCCACATTTGATTAAGCATTATTCTTTATAAAACGAATGCGTAAAAGTTTTATAACCAAATAAAGTTTATTAAATCCGAGCTCTCACAAAATCGTCATTAAGTCTGACCCACCTTCGATCTTTAATCACCAATATTTAACGGCATAAATTTGCCTAATAAACAAATCACCCTACTAAATTTCTGAAAATTTTGAAGAAAAGCGCAGGAGTTATTAAGTTTTAAACAGGGTAAACAAAATCTCCCGTGCACAAATGTCCATACATAGAATACACCTCCGAATTTTTTTGTATTTCTCGACGTTTGGAGATCATGTTTTGCCATACTTTTCCTCTGTTATATCTAACAGAACCAGAAAACTAATATTGTGTTAATTCGGAATTTCAAAGGAGAATTAGCCTAGGGGCTGTCCATAAACGACGTCCACACTAGAAGGTAGGGAGAGGTTATGACAAGTCGGACAAAGTCGGACAGATTGGGAGGGAGAGGTTCAGCTTCATCGGATGTCCGTTTATTTCATTAAATTTTATACATTTTATTATATTTACTTCAAAAACTTCTTGCGTGTTTCGTTTTTACTTATGGTTTCTATCATTATCGGAGCGGGGCGAAGCCGAGTGACGACTAACACTCGACTTCACGCATTCCTTGTCAACATTATAACTCTAGAATGAGTTGTTCGATCTCGATGAAATTTTCTAGGACGATTCATCGTCTCTCGTGGAAGAACCGGTTAAAATTTCAACTCTCAAAAATGATCCATTTTACTGAAACTGGAGATAGGGGTGAAAAAGAAGGTCGCGTTTTTCTTCAGTATTAGAGGTCAAAGTGAGCCGACTAAGGCTACGTCCTACGTGGCAGCGTCTATTTATCGAGCCTATTTATCCGGAGATGAACTCGATCAGTTCCAAACGGCAGTAGAGCTATATCCAACAAACGAGCGACTTAAACAAAGCAACGAAGACTACTCGCAGTCGACTGGTGCCCCGTTGCTGATATAGCAGCTGAAAACACACCAGATATTGCCTTACCAAAGATGACTCGGCTCTCGGTGTCTACAAGTATTTGAATGTCTCAGATAATGCCAGAATCATGATGCGAGTCAACTTACGGGTGCGGGAGGTCTCGTCAATGGTTCGCTAGAAACTATACGCTACATTATATACGCTCCTAATGCTAGTCCTCTAGCTCTTCCCGTGTTTATTTTAGTGAAATTCGATACTTATCAGAGACCTTAATCTATTTCCAATAATCCCCATAACGCGCTCTTCGAACGATAGCAGTATATCGCGATCTCGTAGACAATTTCCCCTTAGCATACTCGATGCTATACATAAATCACAGGGATTAATTCTTCCAAAAATCGAAATAGATATAAATAAAAAAGAGATAGCTATCGGTCTTACCTATGTTGCATTCAGTCGAGTGAAAAAAATAACTGACAGTATTTTTAAACAGTTAAAATAAACATCGCTACGAGTCAATCTGTAAGTCCAAAGGCCCATAGTGATAAACAGAATTTCGTGATACGTTGGCGTAGCGATTAATTAATGGCTTATTCTGACCTTATATTTGTACCGTTAAATGATACAACAAAAATGAAATATATTTTATTCTTTCTCTCTTTTACCCCTCATAATCTAGAAAATGAAGATGCGAGCAGACCCGCTCCGACTACACGCCGATACAGCGTTACGTAACTAGTTTATAAAGGATAAAGGTTTTAAAGGGTCGAGTGTCGTTGGAAGTCCGAAGAAGGACGGGAATTACGGAAACTCGAGCAAACGGGGACTAGAGGAAGAGGGAGGAAGTAAATATTTCAAGAAACACGAGGACGTAATTTACGGACAGTCTAACACTATATTGTGAATAAATATAAAGCATAAAATTACTTTTATAAATGTCAAATCCGCGGTTTATTAGGCATAAAATATTATAAGAAATATATTAATTATCTAAAATATTATTCAAAAAGGAGGAAGTTTGGGAGAAAGAGGGAAATCGACTTCCTTTCCCACACGACTTATCGCTATTTCATATAGCCGTATGTCAGTTTACCCTCTCCGCACTCGTTACGTATCAGACGCTATTGGGCGGAGGTCCAGTTAAAAAGGGAATTTTTTTCCATTCGAAGTAGTTCGTAGAGGATAGAACGTGCCATTTGACTTACGGCAGTTGATGGAAAGTTCAACTTGCCACAGAAGGCAGTTTTCTACTACCTAGAGATGCCATAAAGGGGCCATATAGAAAACAGAAATATATTATACTGTGTGCCTAGAAGATTGTTTCACATATCCCGAATATCTATCATCACGTCGACACCTAAAAGAAGATCAAATCTCGAGTGAAGGTAGTATAATATTTACGTCTGATTGTAAGCTGTTTCTCTCGAGATAGAATTAGAATCGATTCGATTGTAATTCGTTAACATACGCTCTTATTAAATTCTTGTTATTGTTTTTAATACGGTCTCGTTCTTATCTCTAATCTTAGCCTACGTCCGATCCACTGCCTCGCGACCCTCCCACTCGAAATTCCTCTCAAACGAATACGAGCGTGTCTAACGCTTTGACTAGACTAGTGTCACGAAAAACAAACCTGCAGGGGTTTCTCACGAACTTCCGCTCTTCGATCTAAGTCTTTGGAAGCCATCCTTCGACTCTGTGGGCCAGTCTACTCCACTGCTCTGCCGAATAAGTAGAAGACAGGCTAACCCAGACTACCCACGGCTGACCCTTCACATAAAAATTTCGATTTTAAACAGTAAAAATATTATCGTTCCTTAACTGGCGTTTAGATTACGTCACAACGAAAACGAACGGTTTCTCGCCTCGATCCTTCCGCTAGTCTCTTTCTTTTCTCGTGTCGTAACGTATGCCCAACGACGTAATTTGACAAATTGCCATTTCATACGATGACGTAATTTCGAATGTAAATATAGCAAAAGGTAAATATGGTAGAAGTCCGACGGAGTTTTATTTACGATAATAATTAACTTAAACGAAGCAAACTGGCAGCAATTCTTACGAAATATCCAACCGGGATACTCATTTAACGTTAACTTTATATTTTTGCGAGAACTGCGTGAGGGAATAAAAGGAAATTAACAATTGTTTGCGTAATATTTCTGTTAGAGATCGAAATCGCCGACGTCAGTTTTTATCGCGTTGTCGACCACTGGCAACGAAGTATCTATAATAGCTGCTTCGTAAATTACGATTTCTGAGTTCTGTATTTTTGTTGGCTATTTTCCGAGAGATTTACTTCAGATTCGTGTGAGAAAGGGATTAGAACCGTCCTTAAACGAAATGAGGTTGGTTTTATTTTTTCAATTCTTATTTCTAGCGATTATTTCTTGTCAAGAGTTTTGTAAACATTGGGAAAATGTTTCTTGTCCGTCGTGGGCAAACAGTTGTCACGAATCAAAGCACCTTCCCTCTGTTCAAATATTTAATCAATCCTTATCCATCGAGTACGGCGAGGAACGGCGAGGAACTCTCGGTTCATGCGATGTTTGGACGTTAAAAATGTACAAAGGATACAATTTATGAATTGTTATATGTCTGGGATTGACTTTGGAATGTTCACTTTCCGATACGAAGTCGAACACGTCAAGATACGGTTCCCATTCCTGAAGAAAAGAAACTTCGAGAGCGCCTCGTTTAATAACATGTCCTCTCTGCGATCTGTCGAAATAGAATACGTGAAGACGTCGGAACTTCTAAATGTAACATTTCGCAACGTTCTATCGCTGACTTCATTGAAAATCGAATGGTATAATTTCACTTTATTTCCGAACAAACCTTTCCGAGAGTTAATTAATCTTTCCGAATTATACATCAGGCATGGCAAGTTAACAGTTTTACTCGAAGATCTATTTTATAACCTTTACAATTTAACAAAACTGGACTTAGGTAACAACAAGATTCAATCGATTCATCCACTCGTCTTTAGAAATCTCACCCGATTGGAATATTTGGATTTAGGTTTGAATCGGATAAAGGATTTACCCAGTGGCATGTTGAAAGGTCTTTTTAATTTAAGGTTATTTTTTATTCAGGGGAACCGTGAATTATCAGTAATTCCTTCCGGATTTTTTAAGGAACTGCACAACTTGACTGAAATTAATGCACATTATTGTTCTATTTATTCACTCGCAGAAGACGTATTTTCTGACTTAATTTGAGAACCGTCAATTTAGGTTTCAACCGAATTGAACATCTCCAGCCAAATCTTCTGAAAAATAACAAACGACTGACAGAATTCTCCTGTTGGGATAATAAAATATCGACACTTCCGACAGAAATATTTTACGGACTTTCTGAACTGCGATCGTTAACGTTGCAAGGAAACCGTTTAAAAAACCTTCCCAAAGACGTTTTTCAGAATTTGTCGTCATTGCAAAGACTCGATTTATCAGAAAATCGCCTGACATTTTTAGCCGAAAACTTCTTTTTCCCATTGACTAATTTAACGCATCTCGATCTATCTAACAACAATTTAACCGAAACTATTGGTAAGCGACCTTTTGGCAGCTGCAAGCAACTTCGTACTCTCCGTTTAAAGAATGTCGGTTTGACACAATGGCCGGTGATAAATTGGACAGAATACAACTTGACTGAAGTCGATTTTTCAAATAATCGTTTCGAAACCGTCAAATTGCCAATTTACACTCCAAATCGTGTGGTAATTAATCTGTCTAAATGTAAAATCAGAACAATTTACATAGACGAGTGGAAATATGGATTTGAAATGCCGTCATATTATTTAAATAATAACGAAATTACTTGCGACCACGAACTGCAGCAGTTCGTTTTTGCCCTTAAGTCAAATATGGAAGTGGCAAAAAGAATATTTCCAAATATAAAGGACACGAAATGTTTCGGAGAAGCAAGAAATTTGCTGGATTATACATCTTTTGTAATTATAGGAAATTATTGTCCAATAGATTGTCAATGTTTCGTAGAACTTAATCACTGGTGGTGAATTGTTCCGGAAAGGGAATCGACGGAATTCCCGAAGTTCTCCTCCCCAATGCGACGATTGTCGATTTGAGTAATAATTACGTAAAGGAGTTGTCAGATGTGTATTGTTTGACGTGGAAAAACGTTACGCGATCGAACGATCGATGTATAGAAATTGTAGGAAATAATTTGACGTCGTCATTAAATTTTACGTGTATAAAATGGGTTTGTTCGGACGAAGTTAATAGTGTTTTTGAATGGAAAATCGCAATGGATGTTCTTACTTCGCTAGTGTTGCTAGGTGTGGTTATTGCTATTGCCATTGTTTATTGTCGCGGAAAAGAAAAAGTTCGGAAAGTGTGAAAGACGAAACGGATTATTACAATGTTTAAGGATCGACTCTCGTTTGATGCGATGTTTGGACGTTAGAAATGTACAGTACAAGAGATAGAATTTAGAGATTGTTATGTGTCGGGGATTGACTTTGGAATATTCACGTTTGGGTATGGAATCGAACACGTCAAGATATTTTACTCGTCGGATGAAAGAAACTTCGAGAGCGCCTCGTTTATTAACGTGTCCTCTTTGCGATCTGTCGAAATACAACGAGTAAGGACGTCGGAACTTCTAAATTTAACATTTCGCAATGTTCTGTCGCTGACTTCATTGAAAATTGCATGGTTTAACTTCACTTTATTTCCTTACAAACCTTTCCGAGAGTTAATTAATCTTTCCGTATTATACATCACGGTTGGTGACTTAAGAGTTTTGCGCAAAGATCTATTTTATAATCTTCACAATTTGAGAAAACTTGATTTAAATGACAATGAAATCGAAACAATTCATCCACTCGTCTTTAAAAATCTCACCAAACTGGAATATATGTATTTAGGATTTAATAAAATAAAAAATTTACCAAGTGACATGTTGAAAGGTCTTTCTAACTTAAAGACATTTTATATTTCTGGAAATCCTAGATTTTCAGAAATTCCGTCCGGATTCTTTAAAGAACTGCACAACTTGACTGAAATTAGTGTAGCCTCTTGTTCTATTTCTTCACACGAAGAAGATGTATTTTCTGACTTAATTAATTTAAAAGACGTCGAATTAGTTTTCAACCGGATTGAACTTCTCCCGCCAAATCTTCTGAGAAATAACAAACGACTGACACGATTTTCCTGTCAGTTTAATAAATTATCGAAACTTCCAACAGGAATTTTTGATGGACTTTCTGATCTGCGAGAGTTAACTTTGCGGGGAAATCGGTTTGAAAATCTCCCCGAATATGCATTTCAGAATTTGTCGTCATTGCAAAGACTCGTTTTATCAAGAAATCGTCTGACATTTTTACACGAAAACATTTTCCTCCCATTGACTAACTTAACGTATCTCGATCTATCTGACAACAGTTTAAGTAAAATTATTGGTAAGAGTCCTTTTGGCAGCAGCAAGCATCTGCGTATACTCGATTTAAACAATGCAGGTTTGACACAATGGCCGGTGTTAGACTGGACAGAATACGACTTGACTAAAGTCGATTTCTCAAATAATCAATTTGAAACAGTCAAATTGCCGATTTACACTCCAAATCGCGTAAAAATTAATCTGTCTAACTGTAAAATCAGAACAATTTACATCGATGACAGGAGATATGGATTTGAAATGCCGACATATAATTTAAGTAATAATGAAATTACTTGTGATCACAAACTGCAGCAGTTCGTTTTTGCCCTTAAGTCAAATATAGAAGTGGCAAAGGAAATGTTTTCAAATATAGAGAAGACAAAATGTTTTGGAGAAGAAAGAAACTTGCTTGATAATGCATCTCTCCTAGTCATAGGAAATTATTGTCCGATGTATTGCGACTGTTTTATCCAACAAAATCACGTGATGATCAATTGTTCCGGAAAGGGAATCGACAGAATACCCGAAGTGGTCCTCCCAAATACGATGATTGTCGATTTGAGTAATAATTATATAAAGGATTTGTCAGATATCGATTATGTGACGTGGAAAAACGTCACCCGTCTACATCTAAGTAATAATTCGATAAGTAACATTTCGGATTATGTTCTTTTGCCAAACCTCAAATACCTGACGTTAGACGGAAACCGGTTAACCGAATTACCTTCAGGACTAATGAACCTGATCGACGTTTCTTCGGAATTTAAGCTTTACTTATCGAGAAACAATTGGAATTGCGATTGTCATTCGCAATTTACTAAGGACTGGTTACTTAGAAACAGACAAAAGATTGCAGATTTCTCCGATATTTACTGCACGAGAAATTCGTCTTTTCTGCCTTTCACCGAAATTGTTTCTATTGATCGATGCACACAAATTTTAGAAGATAATTTGGCTTCGTCAGTAAATGTTTCGTGTACAAAATGCGTGTTTTCCGACGAAGTTAATTCTGTTTTAGGATGGAAAATCGCAGTGGCTATTCTTACTTCGCTAATGTTATTAGGTGTGGTTATTGTTGTTTTTATTGTTTATTGCAGCAGAAAAGGAAGTGTCAAGAAAGTGCCAAACACTAAAGAAGAAGTGATTCATTACAATGTTTACACTTGACGAATTGTGTAATTACCACAGTTCAAATATATCTTTTATTAATTTAATTACTACTTGCCAGTAAACTGTTATTATTTTGTATTTGTTTCTATGGAAATAAATTTTGTTTATTTCAAATATGCTGTAACAAATGTTAATTTTATATGCTTTTGTGATGAATTTTGTTTAAGAATTATATTAGAAAATGTGTAATACAGTCGACCCCCTATAATTACGGTNAATCCTGAATAAGCCTATAAGAAGAACTATTACCTGATTCTCCGATTCGACACGACCCTGATCGGGATATCTATTAGCAAAGGTATTTATCACCACGCGATCCTTATGTGAACTCTCTCTCTCCGCGACAAAACTTTAGAACCTCTGTATCTTATCCAATTTATTTTTAATTAAATCCTTGTTAATTGTTAAGTGTAGTTCGAGTCTCTTCCACATGCTGTCTCTCTATCGGCTGACATTACGAATCCGTCTGTTCACTTACGGAACCGCTCGCGGGACGGTGTGACGTAATAATTGCTGTCTCGGCTTCCGTGTTCCGATAAACACGGTGGTGTCAATCCTGACAGGGCACTAAAGAGGTGCTAACCCGAAAGGTCACAAAGTTACTTGAGGCAAAGTGAATATTTCTCCACTTCATCTCGTGCACCAGTTGAATTTTCTTGAACAGGTAAATCCAGACAGGTTTAAACCATTATTAGATTTATTTGTTCCAGAGAATGCAACTGCCTTAAAACAAGCTTTGGGTTCTTTTCTCATTATATAAAAGGGATACTTTATTTTTCAGACAAAATTCAAACTGCAGTGGGCTGTAACTTATTTCTGTTGAGCTTGGGCTAGACAAAGTTTTGATACATAATTAGACATTCTCAGATGTGGTTTTTGCAGGATCTGAGTCAAGCTGGTTGATCTGTGGTATTGTATTTACTCTCTTTCAAAACATGAAAAAAGCACACACTGCAATGGAAAAGGAAACAGCTGCAATTCTAGAATCATCGAAGAAATGGAAAATTTACCTTTTATGATGACCCTTTAAACTAATTATTGACCAGAAAGCTTTCCTTTATTATTAACAAATGGCTCTCTAGCAAAATCTAGAATAATAAGATAATGAGATGATGCCCTGAGCTGGTACCTTATAGTTATGATATCTATTACCATGGGTAAGAAAACACAATGGCTGACACCCTCTCAAGAATTTGTAGGGCTACAAGTGACAACAAATAATATGAATTCACCAATTACTCCACCATCCTGAAGTTATTGTTTTCACCAGGAATATACTCTTTCTTTGGATGAGGTACATGTACAGTACATGCAAGGAAGAATCCGCGACAATCCGTCTCTTCGGCCACAGACAGGCGAAAAAATCACGAAATTCGGTGAAAATTCCAAACGTTTTACATTAATTTTGCGTCGAAGTAACCAAAAAACTCTGACAATTTGTTGCCAGCGGTTGAATTTTCAATTCGTACGATTAAAAGTGATTTATTTCCAGCAGTTTTTCCGTGTTTTGCATCATTTGCAGCGATTTTATCGATAAGTTTTGACTACGACCTTTCTAAATTTAGGTATTTTTCAACATCGTTAAGCAGAATATCACAATTAGTGTCAAGCATTTTCTTACAAAGCTCCGTTTGGATAACAATTGACGGGTTTAATCACAGAGACGTTCGAATGAGTCTTTTCACTTGTTTTACGAAATACTTTTCACCCTTTTTATTGCTAATGTTCGTTTAGCTCGAATTCAATCGAACGTTAAAGCAAAATGGAAATTAATAAATACCTTAAAATGTTATTCCCCGATATGATTTACATACACATTGTATCTCTATTTTCACAAATATTTTGTATTATGGCAATCGACGGAATCGTATATTTTGTAAAAACCGACTTTTTAAATTATGCATCGAAGATTAAAAATCGTTGGAAAGATTAAAATGTTTATATTTAATAATTAAAGATTTCTGACTTTTAAATTTTTATTGTAATTAAAACGATCATTTTTTACAATCTTCTATTATAAATATTTATTTCATTTTAAAATTTATATATTTCTTGCTTACAATTGAAATTAAATAAGAATATATATATTTTTTAATGCTAGTTCTGCTTCTAGAACATTCGCTTGTTTTAATTGAAGAATAGATAATTTCAGAATTAAGAAAGTGCCACACTCCGGAAGATGATAAGCGAAAGGAAAGCGCCTCATCCTCCTCTTCCACTTCCCTTCCAGTGATTCGGGTGCTTCCGAAAGATGTTGAGCGGAAGTCGCTTACACCCGACAGGAAACGGGCGGTTGTCAAATCTCCGAACGAAAGCGCCTCGTCTTAGGTCGATTATTTGGGATGACAATACCCGGAAGTTGCGAAATAGACGGTGGACGAGCGGTCGCGCGAGGTAGGAGTCGTCGAAAAGAATCCTGAAAAAATACGTCGAAAGTAAGAAGCCTTGGTGGAATAGGCTTTTCTTTTTCAGCACAAGATAATCCTTTTCTCAGCCGAAGTCGATGTTACCAGGCGGAAAAGACCTTTCACTCGACTACGACTTAACGAACTGAACCCAGCTTTTCATCTGACTCGGATTCTTTCCTTTTCACTTCACGGACAGACACTACGATGCCGGCCGAGGACTCGTTCTTCCACTTGGATTAAATTAAAGTCCACGGAACAACGACGGTGTGATGACGAAATCATAAGACAATGTTATCATTGTTTCTCGAGTTTCTCGATTTTAAAGACTGTTGTCTAAACCACAGATGTCCAATCGGCGGCCCAATTAATACAAATATTTTTATGCGACCCACTGCACTCTGCACTATTTTGATTTCATGTCGTATCTCCAGTAACAAACAAATTTCAATCTTTCGCCACTACCAATAAGGGCACAAATGAAAAAAGGATCTTGCAGTAAGCGATGAACAATAAAGTACAAATTCATACACGAAATCTGTAGTGTTGATTGCACTTTGCCGACATTTCGTGTATATAAGAAAACGAGACTTACACTATAAAACGGAATTCTTGGCGCTAGAGAGCGTGTTATAAGCTGAGCAGTGGTTAAGCCAGCAATGGCTGAATACGATTGTATTAATTTGGCACTTTACGGGATTATTGGTCTACTAAAACTTTTTATATTCGGAGTGAACATAAACTGGTTTACATTCTTCCTCCTAAACATTTATTTATAAACATTTCGACTTTAAATAATTAAAAACAAAATTTTCGTTTCTTAACTGCAGTGTTACGTCACAAATGCGGATGTAACCCGTACCGAGTGACGTTCCTTCCGCTTTCACTATACTCGTTCGAATGTCGGGTCGTAACTTACGGCGATTAATGTAATCTGTTTCGATGACGACGTATGTTTTTCTTAACGATTGAAATTTTCTCGTTGTCTAACAATGTTTCGGTCTCTTTTGTGATGACGTACAATACACATACCAAAAAACAGTTCTACGTAATAAAGACATTCACTACTTACAGAAGGATCAGTCGTAAGATGACGAATTATTTATTTATTTGTTTAACAATTAAATGCAAACGATGGAAGAAGTAATTACCTATAGAAACTAAACATTTAAGTCTGTAAATGACCGCATTTACTACAATTATTTCCTCGTCTTTTAAACTTCTTTCGTCTTCGGTTTTGTTTTAAACGTTGTTTCTCCGTGTTTTCCTTTATCAAACTTCAACATCCTTTCTTTTCGTTCGTAAAATTTATTAATTTTAGATGCAAACTTCCTCAATTTATTTACGTTTCTTATTCGAAAATTAATTTATTTTAATTTTTCAAATATTCATAAATTATTTGCCAGAGTTTCGCATTTATTAGCATAATTAAATGCTTTAAATATTACAAATGGTCGGAGTTTCATTAACACAGGAAATTATTTCTTTGCCTTTAATTATATTTAATTAATGCCTTTTTTGATGTCTTATTTACGTATCAAAAGAGGACATTTATATTTGTTCTTTATTTTAATTTACAATACGAATTTATTTAAACGAACAACACACTTGTAATGAATGTGCAAAACAAATTTTTTATTAAAATAATATACAGTCGACCCCCTATAAGATCATTGATTATTCCGTTTTATATGAATTCCATGTTGTACGAGTAACTTAGATTTTACAAATACGTGTACAGGGCTGTGAATGGCTCACGTATTTGTAAAATTTAAGTGACTCGTACAACATGGAATTCATATAAAACGGAATAATCAATGATCTTATAGGGGGGTCGACTGCATTTATTTAACGTTAACCCGATATTGTTTCTATTACCACAACGTAAATAAACTAGGAGATTAAAAACTGTATACGTAATATTTCTGGCGGAAATGACGATTCGATGTCACAGACGTCAGAAGAAAGTAGTAACACTACTAAATATGTAAATACGGCTTGACTATTATGTATTGTTCGTCGACTGTTTTTGCCGCTCTTTGTGTCGAATGAATTAGAATTTTCGTCGGACCAGATGAGGTTTGTTATCGTTTTGCAATTACTATTTTTAGTGGTAAATTCTTGTCAAGAGTTTTGGAAAAGTTGGGAAAATGTTTCTTGTACGTCATCGGCAGATATCTGCTACGAATCAAAGAACTTTTCCTCCGTTGAAATATTTAATCAAACCTTAACCATCGAGTGCGGCAAAAAAACGATTGACTCTCGTTTGATGCGCTGTTTGGACGTTAAAAATGTACAAGAGATATTATTTGAAGATTGTTTTTTGTCCGGAGATGACTTTGGAATATTTACGTTTGGACATCGAATCGAACACGTCAAGATATTTCACTCAACAAATGTGTATGAAAGAATGTACGAGAGCGCCTCGTTTAATAACATGTCCACTTTGCGATCTGTCGTAATACGAGGCGTGAAGACGTCGCAACTTCTAAATTTAACATTTCGCAATGTTCCATCGCTGACTTCATTGAGAATTGAACTATATAACTTCACTTTATTTCCCAACAAACCTTTCCGAGAGTTAATTAATCTTTCCAAATTATACATCACGTATGGTAACTTACGAGTTTTACGCAAAGATCTATTTTATAATCTTCACAATTTGACAAAACTCGACTTAAGTTACAATAAAATTAAATCGATTCATCCATTTGTCTTTAGAAATCTCGCCCGATTGGAATATTTGGATTTACAATGGAATCCGATAAAGGATTTACCCGGTGACACGTTAAAAAGCCTTTATAATTTAAGGACATTTAATATTAGTTGGAACCATGAATTATCACAAATTCCGTCCGGATTCTTTAAGAAACTGTACAACTTGACTGAAATAAATGCATATGGTTGTTCTGTTTCTTCACTCGAAGAAGATGTATTTTCTGACTTAATTAATTTGAGAACCGTCAATTTAGGTTTCAACCGAATTCAACATCTCCCGCCAAATCTTCTAAGAAATAACAAACTGCTGAGACGATTTTCCTTTTTGTATAATAAAATATCAACACTTCCTTCAGGAATATTTAATGGACTTTCTGAACTGCGAGTGTTAGAGTTGGAGGGAAACCGGATAGAAAATCTTCCCGAAGATGTTTTTCAGAATTTGTCGCCATTACAGATTCTCGATTTATCACAAAATCGCCTGACATTTTTACACGAAAACATCTTTCGCCCATTGACTAATTTAACGCATCTCGATCTGTCTAATAACAGTTTAATTACAATTATTGGTAAGAGTCTTTTTGGTAACAGCAAGCATCTGCGTACTCTCCGTTTAAAGAATGTTGGTTTGACACAATGGCCGGTGTTAAATTGGTCAGAATACGACTTGACGTACGTCGATTTCTCAAATAATCATTTTGAAATCGTGAAATTGCCAATTTACACACCAAATCCTATACAAATGGATTTGTCTAATTGTAAAATCAGAACAATTTACGTGGATGACAGGCGATATGGATTTCAAATGCCGACTTATGATTTAAATAATAACGAAATTACTTGTGACCACGAACTGCAGCAATTCGTTTCTGTCTTTAAATCAAATAGAAAAATAGCGAGGACAATGTTTCCAAATATAGAGAAGACGAAATGTTACGGAGAAGAAAAAGTTTTGCTGGATAATACATCTCTGGTAGTCATAGGAAATTATTGTCCGATGAATTGCGAATGTTCTTTCGAACAGAATCACGTGATGGTCAATTGTTCCGGAAGGGAAATGGATAGAATACCCGAAGTGGTCCTCCCAAATACGATGATTGTCGATTTGAGTAATAATTATATAAAGGATTTGTCAGATATCGATTATGTGACGTGGAAAAACGTCACCCGTCTACGTCTAAGTAATAATTCGATAAGTAACATTTCGGATTATGTTCTTTTGCCAAACCTCAAATACCTGACGTTAGACGGAAACCGGTTAACCGAATTACCTTCAGGACTAATGAACCTGATCGACGTTTCTTCGGAATTTAAGCTTTACTTATCGAGAAACAATTGGAATTGCCATTGTCATTCGCAATTTACTAAGGATTGGTTACTTAGAAACAGACAAAAGATTGCAGATTTCTCCGATATTTACTGCACGAGAAATTCGTCTTTCCTGTCTTTCACCGAAATTGTTTCTAATGATCGATGCACACAAATTCCAGAAAGTAATTTGGCGTCGTCGTTAAATGTTTCGTGTACAAAATGCGTGTTTCCTGACGAAGTTAGTTCTGTTTATGGATGGAAAATCGCAGTTGCTGTTCTTACTTCGCTAATGTTATTAGGTGTGATTATTGTTGTTTCGATTGTTTATTGTCGCAGAAAAAAAAATATCGAGAAGGTGTCTAATGAAGAAGAAGTGATTTATTACAATGTGTACACTTGACAAATTCTGTAATTTCGACAATTCAAATATATGTATTTTCATCGATTTAATCAGTACTTGCCAATAAATTGTTGTTATTTTGCATTTGTGTCTATAGAAATTAATTTTGTTTATTTGAAATACACTGTAATAAATGTTGCTTTTATATGGTTTTGTGGTGAATTCTGATTAAATGTTTTATTATACAATGTGTAATAATTAGATAATAAAGCTGTAAATCAGTCACAAAGTCAATACAGTAGAGCGTCGTTTATCCGAATCAATTGGAAACTGGGGTTTTCGGATAACCGATTACGTACGAAAAAATAAATTAACCTACCCCGTGTTGAAATTTTTTCCGTTGCGTGTCGCTTCGCGTTGAATTTTCGTCGATGTTTAGCCTAACGAAAACTTTTTAAAATAATAATCGTGGCTATTGTATCATTAAAAATTATTTTTTTTATTTTGTACAAACAAAATAAATATATTGAAAAATATAAAAACCAAAAAAATATACTATAGAAGTTGATCTAGTATTAAAAACGTTCGATTCGGCACGACACACAGTTGTCAGAAAAACACCACACAAAAGTGCCAGTGCTGCCAGCCAAAACACACACATCAAACAAAAAAAATATTGGAGTAGCCCAAGATGTAGCCAAAGATTGCAGCGCCACAGCACTAGCGAAAATTTAAATTTGCCGACTGGAATGCTTTCGGATAACCGACTTTCGGATAAACGACGCTCTACTGGAATTACCTCTATTATATTACATTCAATAGATTCCCTACGCCCTGTAAAAGCCAATTCTCGCTTCTATAACATCTACTAATTTAAATATGATATGTCTATTAACCGTAACTTTGTTATAATTTTCAATATTTACTTTATATTGTTTACTAATGTTAAATTCTATTTTGCTTCCAAAATGCTATAATTTTAAGAAAGAATCGATGCGAGATTTACGATTTTCGTGTCTTTTGCCAGCTTTACTCAAATTATTTAAATCGTCAAAGCCATTCTTATTCCATACACTAATTTCATTCGAAAATAATAGGCGAGGCCAACCAAAGAATTCGTGCATTTTTATGCATTCGCAAAGCCATTTTACGTCTTTTTATCGTGAAAATATCGAACAAATTTTTTTGTCGACGTATTTATATTTAATTTCGGCATCGGTCTTTCTTTTTAATAATGTTTTCTTTTTCATTATACGGTCTCGAGCCAATGCATGGTACAAAGTATTCAATTGTACGAATATACTTTTAAAGAAAATTATAATTAAATATAGTTTTGTGAAGAAACGTTCATAAAAATAACATAAAATATTTTTTACTTTTTAAATATTGAAGCAATCCACTTAGTTAAAATTGCTCCCTACCAGTGGCTCGTGGATGGAATCAGAGACGGTCATTGGTAGGTGTGCGGTGCGTGCATGCACGCGGGCTGCTAAATCCCGAGGGTGCCGATACCGGTTAATGTCAAATGCCTCTTTTGTCGCATCACTAGTACAGTAGAGCGTCGATTATCCGAATCAATTGGGAACTGATATTTCGGATAACCGATTGTGTACGAAAAAATAGTTTAACGTATCTGATGTTGAAATTTTTCTCCGTTGCGTGTCGCTTCGCGTTGAATTTTTGTCGATGTTAAGCCTAACGAAGACTATTGTATCGTTAAAAATTAGTTTCTTATTTTGTACAAACAAAATAAATATATTGAAAAATATAAAAACAATAAAAAATTATACTTCATAAGTTAATTTAGTATCAAAAACGTAAAATATTTGAGTTGCCCAAGATATAGCCAAAGATTGCAGCGCCACAGCACTAGCGAAAATTTAAATTTGCCAACTGGAATTCTTTCGGATAATTGACTTTCGGTTAATCGACGCTCTACTGTATTTGCGTTTTAATTGTTAAATGATATCAGTTTCGTTACATCATTGCTTATAACATCAAAGTTAATGGCAATTTTTCCTCTAAATTGTACGATAATAGGCCTACAGTAACATATAAGTAAACTGTCTATTTTCATGCCGTCCTTATCCAGAACAGTTTGTAGATATCTATCCTTTCCGAATGTTCTATCGTAACACAACACAAGACCCTCTGTTCTATCTATAAGGAGATAGCCCGATGTAGAAAGCACAGGATTGTAAGGAGTGAGGAAATTGTAGGCTTTTAGAGAAACCCTACAATTTCCTCGCTCCTTAGAAATCGAGAGAAAATAGTGCTTCGGCCAAAACACCTTGAAAGGTTAGAAATGTACAAAGCCTTCGTAGTTAACTTCAAGGAGACAGACTCTATTTCGTCAGGCTGGACAGCGTATAAAAAGTTATAAGTGAAGGTTTCTTCTTCCAATTGTCAGACTAGTAATGTCTATCACGTCTTTCTTAATTATGAATAATTAACAGAGACCGAGATTAAAACAATTCTCTTTGTTTCGCCTATTCGCGCTCACGGCTTCAGTGTCTCCAACATAACGAACAAAATGTTAGTTCGTCTTAATATACTTTTGTTATCTGCAATGATGGATATAGTGCACAATTTGCACACATTTAATTCAAAATATCTCAAGCTAGTAGTGGCTTGCCCCTGTACATCACACTTTTCCGTTAACAATAGTCATCTGTTAACTGACGTTTTGAATTGAAAAAAAAACGAGACTTTCGGTTCGAATCGGAAGATCATATATAGTTAATTGGGGCATCATGTCTCTAAAGTTTCCACATCTGGTTTCGGATTTCATATAATTCCGTTCTCGAGGTTAAGACAATGACAAAATTTGGAAATAAATGTAGCATTCCTCCCAAAGCAAAATTGTCGCGCTGTAAGTCAGGAAATAAAATATCATGGCATGAGAGGTACAGTACTTGCGGACGTGTCAAATTGATTAAGCGGTCACATTAAGAATTTAGGGGAGAGATCCTTTAAAAAGTCAGAAATTCAAGGAGAAAGAATGATCGTTTCCCCCTAGCTGTGTCGATCTCCCGTTGTCTCGGACTTAATTTTCGTTCGGCCGTATTATAAAGGTTTAATATTAACTTTATCCAGTTTCATGTTGCATTAATAGGCGAAACCCACGACGACCGAGGAATCCTAAGAATTTGATTTATTTCATGCCATGGTCGAAAATGGACGAAAAAGATATTTATTCGAACGAATTTCGGAGATGATCGAGCGTCGAGACGTAGAATTTAAAAAGATCGTCGAAATTCTGCACCATGTAAATGCAGAAGGTAATTTANAAATATTGGAGTAGCCCAAGATGTAGCCAAAGATTGCAGCGCCACAGCACTAGCGAAAATTTAAATTTGCCGACTGGAATGCTTTCGGATAACCGACTTTCGGATAAACGACGCTCTACTGGAATTACCTCTATTATATTACATTCAATAGATTCCCTACGCCCTGTAAAAGCCAATTCTCGCTTCTATAACATCTACTAATTTAAATATGATATGTCTATTAACCGTAACTTTGTTATAATTTTCAATATTTACTTTATATTGTTTACTAATGTTAAATTCTATTTTGCTTCCAAAATGCTATAATTTTAAGAAAGAATCGATGCGAGATTTACGATTTTCGTGTCTTTTGCCAGCTTTACTCAAATTATTTAAATCGTCAAAGCCATTCTTATTCCATACACTAATTTCATTCGAAAATAATAGGCGAGGCCAACCAAAGAATTCGTGCATTTTTATGCATTCGCAAAGCCATTTTACGTCTTTTTATCGTGAAAATATCGAACAAATTTTTTTGTCGACGTATTTATATTTAATTTCGGCATCGGTCTTTCTTTTTAATAATGTTTTCTTTTTCATTATACGGTCTCGAGCCAATGCATGGTACAAAGTATTCAATTGTACGAATATACTTTTAAAGAAAATTATAATTAAATATAGTTTTGTGAAGAAACGTTCATAAAAATAACATAAAATATTTTTTACTTTTTAAATATTGAAGCAATCCACTTAGTTAAAATTGCTCCCTACCAGTGGCTCGTGGATGGAATCAGAGACGGTCATTGGTAGGTGTGCGGTGCGTGCATGCACGCGGGCTGCTAAATCCCGAGGGTGCCGATACCGGTTAATGTCAAATGCCTCTTTTGTCGCATCACTAGTACAGTAGAGCGTCGATTATCCGAATCAATTGGGAACTGATATTTCGGATAACCGATTGTGTACGAAAAAATAGTTTAACGTATCTGATGTTGAAATTTTTCTCCGTTGCGTGTCGCTTCGCGTTGAATTTTTGTCGATGTTAAGCCTAACGAAGACTATTGTATCGTTAAAAATTAGTTTCTTATTTTGTACAAACAAAATAAATATATTGAAAAATATAAAAACAATAAAAAATTATACTTCATAAGTTAATTTAGTATCAAAAACGTAAAATATNTAGGGGGAGGAAAAATAACAAGTGGAAGACGGGGCACTGGAGGTAGAGTATTGGACGATGACCGTAGGGAAAGGTTGGGGTCACTGACAATCTTTTCCTGAACTGTTTTAAAACGAGTGTCAAAGTGCATTGCGTTTCATAATTTCCAGTTTTTCCTTTAATTTCGTTTTACAAAAATCGGGGAAAATATCGAACAAATAGAACAAACTTTTGTTAAAAGTTAATTACAGTATTTACTCGAATATAAGACGATCTCGCGTGTAGGACGAGGTGTGATCTTAAAGATCGAAATAAAGAAAATTAGATTTATTAATGCAATTCTAATTTTATTTCGTTTAATAAGAAATAAAATATCAAATGCAGATAAATGCACACTTTCTCCCGTAAAAATTACTGGCATTTTAATCTTCAACGAAAAATCTTCAATTCTTCGTCGATTCACTTACGAGTTTCTTCGAATTTCCAAATAATCATTTGTATACACATGAGAATGAATTACAACTTATACTGTATTGGGCTCTTGTGTAATTTTGGAATTCAATTCAAAAACTTTGCTTTTCCTATTGCTATTTATCTTTACTCATGACAATACACAAGAACGTTTAAACGACGCAGGTAAAATAGTTTTTAAACAAAATAAGGTAAAAACCCGGTAAAATATGCCAATACAA